CTCGGATTGAGATCCTCAGGAGTGCCGCCTTGTGGGCGCTGACATTCCAATTTCCGCTGCAAGGAGACTGTCTGCCTTTACTTGTCACATCACTCATTCGCGAATCGCGCTTGTTGAGCTGGGAGAACGACATACACAGTTCGAAACCACAGTGTTTGAGCCCCTATCCTCATCAGTTTCTTGAGTGAACCGATCTTGCAGATGTTACAATCTCGAGGCAGGTTACCGTATTCGCAGCCAAATCGAGTCTTTGAAAACATTCCGGGGTCACTTCAGGTCGTCATTTTTTCATAAGAAGATTAGTCAACAGATTACGGGGTTGGGATACGCCTCTGCACTGATATGGATACCGCGTAACAGCATCTGACACGCCTTCTCGTTTCGCACCCCCGCCTCCCTCTCAAACTCGTTCCTGGATGTCAACTTTGTACCTCCTCTACTCGTGAGATTGACCAAGTTCCCCGACTAACCACCATTGAATATTGTGCTGTTTGGGCTTCAGACAACCTGCTTACTACGTCGAACGACGATGGACCACACAGTTGAGGCTTACGGTGCAGATGGGACCGATATCAGCTCTGTCTCTGCCATTGCCAACAGTCATGATCGCGTCAAATCTATGCTGCCGGCGGGGTTACTGTCAGCCGTGAACGGTGACGGCCACACGTGGCTTAAGTACGGCGAGAAGCACGTCGCGAATCACGTCATCAGGTGCTGAGAAAAAAATTTGGATCATTTTTTTCATCATTTTCTCGGTAAACACCGTTAATTTCATGAAAACCAATGACTTTCTTTCTTCTTCTTTCTTCTTCCTCTTCGAGAAAATATATTCCTTGTTCTTTCTAATCGTGATATTCGTTTCCTCTCGCGTGTTCTCTGTTTTTTATTATATTCTCTTATCCTCATTAGCAGGTCATACTACAAGTGCGTCTGGTCGAAGAGCCCAGAAGCATGCCCTGCCAGAAAAACCGTCGACTTCGACCCTACGTGCCGATCCAAGCACCCTAGTCACTCAGCCACTGCCTTCAGCGGGTCCTTCCGCGATAACAGCGCAGCGCGTCACGGTCAGGCGGTAGCCGCCGCAAGTCTTCCAGCGGACGTCGCCAGCAGCGAGTCCGAATGTCACGAGCCGGTCGCGGTCGTCACGGTGTACCGCAATAGTCACAACCATCAGAAGCGCGGGCCTCCCCCGCGCGGACACAAGCGGCGGAGGCCCCGAACGGAGAAGTCGGCGGAGGAGAGCAGCAAGAGAGTAAAAAAATCACCCAGGTCTCTACAAGCTCCAAACTCGAGAGCGTGGAAGCTTGCGAATACCTTTTCTGGTACCTGTGTGGTCAACTTTGAGCTTGGGGCAAAGGACGGGGGAGGTTATCCTACGCACGTTCTTCCACATGTCCCTTCACATTCCTCTCCGTCACCTCCTCCGCCTGGAAAATCAGAGGAACAGGCGAGCGGGCGCCAGGAGCAAGGATACGAACCGCAGCTGCAGTGCCGTACTTCTTACGCTGCTGCGCTGGGAGACGTGGACGAGTTTCCGGAGTGGTTGATGGAGGCGGTTTGCGGTATCGACTCTTCTGGCATCGATGACGCCTCTTGGCTTTCCAATAACCTTGCAAATCTGGACAGAAGCGCCTGCTGTGTAGAGGATTTTTTGGATCTTCCAATCCATCAAGATGAAGTCGACCACCATCAAGCCCAGCAGGGGGCCTTGAACGAAGTAAAGCAAGCCGCGTCTCCTCCCTGCGCCCCTTGCAACGGCACGGGTGCGCCGCCACAGAGAGCCCCTGCGTTGGGCCATGCTTCCTCGTCGTCCAGCAGCAGCGCTGCATTGTCGGCACCACAAGACAGCAAGAGTGAAGGCGAGATTGTTAATGAAGCGCCGCAAATATTGTCGCATCTCAGCGCTGTATCGTCGACGCTGCGAGATGGCAAGATGGGAGATGTGGTGGGGCTGGGCGGCAAGTGTGGGTGGGCAGGGGCTGTGGTGGAGCAGGAGTGGGTTTCTTGCAAGACAGCGATGGCAGTGAGTGGCAGGCAGTGCGGTCTGGATGGAGGGAATAAAATGGAGAGGGCTGGAGCAGAAACGTTTCAAGCCGGCACGCAGCAGCAGCACCACCTGCAGCGAGTGTACCACCCAGTGTTTGACATCCTTGGGGGAGGAAATAGCCTTAGCGTTTGGGATTTCATCAGTTGTGGCGACTGACGAAACCAACACAGCATGATAGTCATGTCATCATCTGGTAATAACATCCTAGGTGGCGCCAGCCTTGAATGGAGGGTTGGTGTTGTGGTGCAGTCTTTCTTGGCATGGTGGATGTCGCCCTTTTCAGCTGCTGCTGGTGTCAGCTCATTAGGCTACTACTCTGAACTTCCTTCCCCGCTAACTTACTCCATTGTAATGGGGAATCATGCACTATATGCGACATATTATGCACTATATGTATTATAAAATACTATTAATATTACATTCATGCATACTCGTTTTCACAACAAGCATCTCTTCCTGCCTTCATCACAGGAGGCTTAGCTCTGAAAGCATTTGACCAGGTACTAAAATCTGTATGGGGTGTAATGCAGCACTACAGCCTGTCATTCCCTGTAACCCGGTAAAACTGCCTGCGATAGCAAGCGAAGTGTGACTCATTCTCCACGACCCTGGTTCTGCGGTTCATCCGTTCAAAGGACGCCGCGGGGAAGCCCCTCAGAATAATTTGCACGAGCGGAAAGCATCTCTCCGGAACTGCCCGCGAATGAGCCCCAGCGCGTTGATGGGCGTCGTGATCGACGCGTAATACGCGCCCGGGTTCGTGTCCATCTTCTCTAGCACCTCCGCTACTGTCACATTCGCGTCGTTGAGCGACGGCGTGCGATGCGCGTTCATGATCCACCCAGTGGATACGATCTTCGGCCCGTCGTCGTGCCAGTTCTTGAGGCTCGGGATGCCGGGAATGCTGATCAGCGCGGGGCCTAAGGCGCCCCTGGGACCGAAGTTGATGGTGCGGGTGACCGGCATGTAGATGCTCTCCATTCTTAAATCGAACTTCACGTTTACCGCGTCCGTCGTTCTGAGGTCGAGAGGGGTGAGGGGGGAGGGAACACGGTCCGAGGGGTTTTCACTCAGTCGGAGAGCCATGGTTGGTTGATGTGAGGGGCAGCGAAACAAACGGATTTCAGCTTCTAGCGTGTACGTGAAATTTCCGCAACTAAGCTTGATTCTTGAGTACTTGAGTAAGTCTCTAGAGCTCGACGGAAGAGCTTTGTGCAATGCCGCATGATGGTGAAAGGATTAGTTGCGACTTCTCACCTGTAGACGAAGATATCGAGGAATCCGTCAGCTTGCCGTCGGCCGAAGGTGAAGGCGGGAACTTTCTCCTTCTCGAGACTTGTTTGCAACTCGCCTGGCACATACACATCGAGAAAAGAGCGAATGCCACGTGGGGTTCGGTGAGGAAAGGGACCAGCCACTGGCGGAGGTATCCGCGAAGGTCGTTCTAGTGACGGGACGGAGCGACGGTTAACGGTACTGACAACTGGGATTGCTTCGCCCGACTTAGGAATCGAAAAGCGCGTACTGATGAGTCTGCCGGGCATCTTGTTGGCGCTGCCCGCGCAGTTCACTCTCCACGCCGCCACGTCTGCTGGTATCGAGGCGGCCAGTAGGAGAACCAGTGCCACGACTAGAACCGTGCGGACTGCAGTCCAGGAAAACAGAAATAGAAGACAAAGATAAATTATTCTACTGCGGGTGCCCATCGGCCAAGGAGCGCAGCAAGCGCTCGTCGCAGGAGCTGGCAATACGAACAGGAGGGCGGCTATGCATTGTGTGAGAACATATGACTAGAGAATGTGCACTTACCGTTGTGACGAGCCATCAGTGGACGCAAAACTGAACTGTCTGTTCTAACTTGTGTCTAGAAGCTAGGAAGACTTTCGTTGACGATTGTGTCTAGTAGAGCTCTTTGCAGTTGCAAGGCCGAGCGATTCTATTTATGCGACGAGTAGAAAGAGGATGCGATAGGCTTGTCTTAAAGCGACGGTGCACATTTGCCACCCAAAACCCAGAACCCTGGCGAACTGTTATTGCGGATGGAAAGTGTCCGCACGAAATCCTGGTTTTCGCCAGCCAGCACTTTCGCGCTGGCAAGCCTGGTTAAAAAAAAAACTTCTGAACCCAACACTGCCAAAAGTTGCCCGTCGCTTTAAAACACACGAATTTCTTTCTTGATGGAGCAGTAAGTCCCCGCCTCTGTTTTTGGGTGTCTCTTCGCCGGGTATTATACAAGAGCCAGTCTCGTCCACGTCGGAAATTCTGTTGTCAATTAGTCGAAATTCTTGTGTGCCTTGCCTTCTCGCGCGAATTGCAATGCGTCGGTTGGGGGTCGCATATTTTTAGCAGCCTTGTGCGATTCGGGCGCGCATTTTTGCATCACCTTGGCACGTCGCAAGAATGCTGGCGATTGAAGCTGACGAGATTTCGCACGCGAGCTTCACGTCGTATGAACATGCGCCGGCAGCTTTTGCGAAACCATATCTGATTTCGACAAAGGGAAAAACGTGATCGGCGGCTGTCACAGGAAAAGCGAAATAAGAGGATTTCACGAACTGATATACAGACTGATTTTCTTACATGTTATCGCGTTACCTCCAAGAGAATATGAATGCTCAACCAAGAAATTGCCCCTCCAGTCTGCTCCATGATGAGCTCAGCTCAGAGCCAATGTCGGTTCCCGCGCCCCATGGTTTACCATTTCCAGCCAACAAACCAGCTGTCAACTTTCATGCATCGACTGCCCGCTACGCAGCGCATGTCACTCGAAAAACATCGGACAATGCGGGCGATGAGGCTAGTTTTCGCGATTCATATCCATTCGAGGTGCAGAGCACGATGCTTGAAAAACATCGCCCTCGATGTCGCGAGCTCCAGACTTCGCAGGAAATTTAACAGACTGACCTAAATCTCCGCCAGAGGTTCCTGTCTGGTTCTTATGTCCGTGAGTAACATGGTAGTCGCAATTTTCGGCGCGACGGCGTGTGCTGCGGTTTTTGCGCAGTACGCGTTTATAAGATGCGGCCTGCACGGCTCATTCACTAGCGCGTCCTGGCCAGTGGCGACCCTCCCGGACGTTCAGAATATCACGCGCGTTTCTAATCTCGTACTCTCCGTGTACGAACGAGATCTAGCGGAGCCTCGTTTCAGCGATGCCGTACCGCCAGCACGCGTAGTGAAGTCCGTTTCGTACGATGACACGAGAGGGCAGTGCCCGCCGTACACCGTGTTCCTCGATCCTGACGCCAAGGATGTATGCGTCGCGATCCGCGGTCTTCATCTCACTCACGAGGCGGATTACGCCGTCTTGCTCAACAACCGAACGGGGCAGCAGGTGAGTCCGACACAGACATCCCAAAATTGCCGATGTGAGGTTTTTGTCTGAGAGGCAAGGAAGTGGGTACTTCGAAGCTACGGTCGGAGTATCTCCGGAGTCAAGCCGGTCCCCATAACCGAGCGCTTGGCTAAACCATGAAAAGCGCACTCCGCGGCTCTGCAGGCTTCTTTGTTAAACTCCCAACATTTCTAGTGGCTATGATTTTCGCAGAGGCTTGAAGATGGATACGCCCACAAGGGCCTTCTGCAAGCAGCGCAGTGGTTGCTTGAACGAGAGGCTGACACCTTAAAGGCGTTGCTACAAGCAAATCCGGGGTTTAGCCTGACACTCAGCGGTCACTCGCTTGGCAGCGGAATAGCCTCCTTGCTCGCCATTCTCCTTGCGAGCTCGCCAGATCGAATTGGCATTCTGCCGCCCGGGAAGCTCCGCTGCTTGGCCTTCGCACCGCCAAGGGTTGTGTCTCTGAACCTGGCTGTCAAGTATTCAGACGTCATCACCTCCGTGGTCCTTCAGGTAAGATACGATGTGAGCTCAGGTGTCCTTTCCTCCTCCTCCCTCGTGCAAAGTGCGTTGTGAGGAAAGCATTGTAACCCGTTCCTTGCAGGATGATTTTCTTCCCCGGACAGCTTTGCCTCTTCAGCTCATTTTTGGGGCTGCATTGTGGTGCGTATTCTGCATTATTGCTTGCATTTCTATGCCTAAGACAGGCACTAGCTGGTTTCAGAAGCTTACGTAATTCTGCTCTGTGCAGCTTACCATGTCTCCTAGCGTTCTCATGTATGAGGGACACGCTTGTTCCAGCCTGGGTGCTTCATCAAAATCCTGCACGCTTGTACATACCAGGGAGAGTCCTTCATATAGTTTACACCAAGTTTTGCAGGTTGGTTGCAGTAGTCAAGCTGTACTGCATTTACGGGTTGGAAAGCTGCACCAATACCTGCAGTTGTGCTTCCCTCCCCCCAGTTGTCAAGGAGGCAGTGCCCAGGGAAGAAAGGTTTGAGCATCTTGTGTGCTCGATGAATGCTCTTCAGGACCACTCGTTGGTCCGTCTTCGAGCCAAGGCCCAAGGCGCCACTGCGGTAAGCTATTATGTATCGTGCCTGCAAGTCAATTACTTCGTCGTTGGGATTGTTCATGAGAATTTCTTTTGCAGAAGCTATTGGAGTCGAATTGTGCCACCTTGGCACCTCCTGAGCAGATAATGGAGTGACACATCAGTCTGGTCTGGTGTATTGTGACCACTAATGTGATGCTGTTTGATAGATATTCATAAGATGTTTCAAAGTTTCTTTAGCACAATATACCTTCAAGACACGGAAAAAAACCATTATTGTACAGGTAAGTTTTATAGGTGATGAATTCGTGAATGAGTTACGGTACAGTGTGGCACGTCTCCCTCCTCTTGACCAATCTGTGCGAGGCGGAACTGCTACTTCAAATCAGCTCAAGGCTGCCCCACGTCAAGCCTACCCCGACCAAACCTCTTGGTTCGAAACCTCCAGCCAGACACTGTGCCACGTTTGATTCGCCTCAAAACCAGAGGCTTGCTTCACCTCCCGCTTTTCCATACCTTGATCAAACCGCGGTTTGTCAGATCCGCCTCGTCACCTGACAGCGCGGGAGAGGCTCGATGAAGATGGATCAATTCAAACCGTCGATGTGGAGCACAAGCCTGAAGCTCCGGTTATGAGATCAGTTGGCATCCCATCAGTGTCCTCCTTCCTTTGCACGAGTTACATCCAGTAAAAACGGCTACTATCACAGAAGTCGGGAGATAGATGGTTGTTTTCTTCTGCACAAAACACCACCATTTAGCAGTCGAATCGGGTAGAATCACTACGAAGGAAGTACATTCCTGGTGCTGTTTGTGGCTGACACGTGTTTTTTTAGCAGCGGAGTTTCATTCGTAGTGGCAAACCGCTGTTCGTATGAAATGCTTGCAGCTTGATATTCGTTAACGCAGTTGGAGTAGGTAATTTAGGGGATACAGAAACAAGCAGTCTTGGAATGACAGATTCCGATTGAGCCAGCAAAAGGAGTTGGCGTCTCAAGTTAGGGTGTTGATTTTCAGGTCAGGGTATCAGATATTTAAAGTCAACTCCGCAAGAGGGAAGCTTGTTCAACCTTTCCGCGGTACTGTCCTGGATCTGACATCCAGGTCGAGATGATGAAATCGTACGGAGTCCCGTCAAAAGGGAGCGGACGAGCGGGTAGGCTTCGGTTGCTAGCTCTGATTGTGATATGCCTGGGGGTGGTGACGTGGCTGCACTATGACGTACCGGAGAAAGCGGAAACAAAGAGAGCCGATCCCGACACGATAGCTCGCGTGTGCGAAGGCCGGTACATCTACATGTATAACCTTCCTGCGAGATTCAACAAGGTGTGTGACGATCAACGAGCTGCATGATTACTGGGAGGTGATGGAGAACAAAGCATGTAGCCACACACAAAGTGTGTCATCATAACTCCCTAATTCAACTGTCAATCAGAACCGTTTGTTAATCGAGCTGCATCCACCAGCTTCTCCTCCCCTCCAGCCCCAGCGTCCTTATGACTCCGTTTTCGTTGCTTGCCACATTACTGTGAACAAGCTCGATTCTACATCTGGTATTAGCCGCTCAATAGCCTAGCTTCGAAACAGTATCTGGTTTTTGCCGCTCGATCACGGCGGCCTCTGTCCCAACCTACCCTACCGTTCGATCACGCCATGCTCCCTCCTTTGCCGCTTCCCGCGCGTGCAGGGCGTGCTGGCCAAGTGCCGTGGCCGCGACGACACGGGCGAGCGCTGCGCGGAGCTCAGCTCCATGGGCATGGGCGTGCCGTACCACTCCAAGGTGCGTCGATATCTACTCTCCCTTTCTCCTCCCCTTAGTAGCGTTTATCATTATCCCGCCGGTGAAGAGTCAGCTTTCGACTCGCCTGAAAGCAATGATCGCTCTCTTTCTTGATCGCGCTCTGGCCTTTATCAGTTACCGCCTCTCCCTCCCCATGCACCCCACTTTCCTTCCCGTGTATTCCTTTCCTGTGCGCCTCCATTCCCCATTCCCCTTGCCCCTCCCCCATTTCCCATTTCCTCATCCCCTATCCCCCGTGTTCCCCCATCATCCATCCCCCCATCCCCCCATTCCCCCCATTCCCCCCCATCCTAACGCACTCAGAAGCCCGAGTACGCGGGCGTGGCGCACGTCGCTGTACAACGCGGAGCTGCTGCTGCACCACCGCCTGCGCAACCCCCCAGTGCTCATGGCTGTTTTACCCCATTCCCGTCCCCCGTTCCACACTCCCCATCCCGCATGCCCCCATTCCCCATTCCCCCATCCTCCCGCGCGCAGAAGCCGGAGTACGCGGGGGTGGCGCACTGGTGGCGCACGTCGCTGTACAACGCGGAGCTGCTGCTGCACCACCGCCTGCGCAACCACCTCTGCCTCACGCCGCACCCCTCCCAGGCGCACCTCTTCTACGTCCCCTTCTACCCCGGTGCGCACAATACGGTACTTCTGCAGCGTAGTTTTTTACCCCGGTGCATGCCTCTCTAGCACCTCTTCTGCGGCCCCTTCTACCCTGTGAACGCCGCTCCATCGCCTCGTCTACTCCCCCCTCGCATCTCCGCAGGGCTGCAGCTGGAGCACGTGCTCGGCTTCTCAAACACCACCATCGACGAGTACTACGATGACTTGGCGCAGTGGATTCGCCGCCAACCCGCCTTCAAGCGGTGCGTGCTTCCAGCGAGCTCATGCACACAGCACACGGATACGCGTGCACCGCCCTGCCTGTCTTATTTTCCCTTTTCTATTACTCGTTTTCTGTTTGCCATTTCCCGTTTCTCATCCCATCGCGTGCTCGTGAATGACTCCGTGCGCCTACCATCTCCCCCCTCCCCCTCTCCCCCCAGGTACGGCGCCAAGGACCACTTCTTTGGGCTCGGCCGCACCACGTGGCTCTTCCGCCGCTCGCTCTCCCCCGTGCTGGACGGCGCTAACCTCGAGCAGATGCCTGAGTTCATGCCCGTGAGTCATGCTGTGTGCCCGTGAGTCGGACACTGCATACTTGCTACAAGCCTTAAGTTTTGCTTATACGCGTGTCACCATGTCATCATGGTAGTGTTGTTTGCTTGCTCAAGGTGAATGCATCGCTCCCTCTTCCTCGTGCTGGATGGCGCTAACCTCGAGCTGATGCCCGAGTTCATGCCCGTGAGTCGTGCACTGCGTACCTATGAGAGCTACAGTCCTGAAAGTGACTCATCTCTCACAGGGTTAATGCATCGCTCTCTGTTCCCTGGGCTAGAAGGCGCTAAGCAGGAGCGGATGCCCGAGTTCATGTCCGCGCAGCTCAGAGCGTCCAAGTGCCGCTCTGAGACTTGGGCTTCAAAGCTTCTCTCGTCTCCTCCCCCCGTCGGATGATAAAGCTGGAGGTGGAGCTCGCATGAGAATCGAGTTTTAAGGGCATCTTCCCCTCCCCTTTTCTCCCGTTTTCCTCCCCCCCGCCCTGCCCCCCTTTCGCCTCCCCTTCCGCCCAGATGATGAAGCTGGAGGTGGAGCGCTATGCATGGGACGACCAGGACTCGTTCGGGCTGCCCTTCCCCACGGACTTCCACCCCATCTCCACCAAGCAGCTGCGCCGCTGGCAGGTGAGAGGCAGTAAGGGCAGAGGGGCTGCACCTAAACCCAATAACTGAGCCGCTAACCTCAAACCCGAATCACAAACCCAACACGGACTTCCATCCCATCTACACCAAGCAGCTGTGACGCTGGCAGGTGAGAGAAGCGGGGGGATGAGAGAAGAGGGTGCTGTATGAGAGGTAAAGCGGTAATTGTGTGTGCTGGTGTGTGGTGTGGTGTGGTGTGGTGTGGTGTGGTGTGGTGACTGCCCTTCCCCACGGACCTCCACCCCATCTCCACCAAGCAGCTGCGCCGCAGGCAGGTGAGAGAAGCAGGGAATTGAGGGAAGAGTGGTCGGTAGGCAGTTATAGTCCAAGTGGGTGGTGGTGCCGTTCTTTCATCATTCTTCCCGAGATCCAAGAGCCGGAGGCACCGTGTTTCACTCTCATTCCCACCTCTCCACCCCCGCCCCTCGCCTCCCACAGACCACAGTGCGCAGTGCCAAGAGCCCATACCAGTTCGCGTGCATCATCCCACCTGATAGCAAGGAGCCTGAGGCGGCTACCAAGACACCGTGCTGTTCTTCCCTCTCATACCCACCCCCTTTCCCTTTCGCCCCTCTTCTCCTCCCTTCGAACTCCAGGCCACAGTGCGCAGTGCCAAGCGGCCGTACCAGTTCGCGTGCATCATCCCCCCTGACAGCAAGGAGCCGGAGGCGGCCACCAAGACGCGCGCGGCAGTGGTGCAGCAGTGCCAGGCGCCGTCCACCTCGTGCGCGCTGCTCAACTGCAGCCGCGGGGACTGCAGCCACGAGCAGGTCATGGGTGCGTGTTGAGGCGGGGGGGGGATGGGAGGGCTGGAGCAGGTCGGGGGTGCGTGTTGGGGTGGGGGAGGGATGGATGGTCGTGGGTGAGTGTGTGGGTGGGGGAGAGAAAGCAAGGAGAGCAGGAAGCCAGCACGGCAGGCGGTGGTGCAGCAGTGCCACCTCGTGCGCCCTGCTCCACTGCAGCTGCAGTGACTGCAGCCACGAGCAGGTCATGGGCTCATGGGATGGGAGGTGGGGGAGGGAGGAATGAAGGGAAGGCGGAGGGGGGTAGTGGTGGAAGGAAAAGTGGGCAAGGGGTTTTTTTCTTGTGAAAGGAAGGAAAGGAGAAGAAAAGTAGGTCTTGGTTAGCAGCTGTTAACCAGCACTCTCTACCTCGTTCTTGCTCTGCTTGCTCCCCTCCCCAGACCTGTACCTGTCAGCACGGTACGCAGTGCAGGACAGCAGCAACTACAGGCTGTGCTACCCCATGCACTGTCACCTGTGACACTGTCCGTACCCCATGCTTCCCTCTCCCTCCACGCTCCCCCCACCCCTCACCCCCTCCCCAGACCTGTACCTGTCAGCACAGTACGCGGTGCAGGACGGCAGCAACTTCGGGCTGCGCTACCTCATGGACTCGCTCGTGGCGGGGGCCGTGCCCGTCATGCTCTGGAACCGCACCTACGCCCTCTACCACCACCACTTCCCCTGTACGCCCTCTACCAGCACCACTTCCCCTGTACGCCCTCTACCAGCACCACTTCCCCTGTACGCCCTCCCTTCCATGCCCTTTCCCAGTAAGCCGCCTGTATCTTCCTCTACCCTAAGTATTCTCTCTGTGCTCTTCCTCTACCCTGAGTATGTTTGATCTCTGTGCTCTTCCTCTCCCATGCTACTGTGATTGGTTGTTCCCACGTTCTCGTGACGGGGGCCATACCTGTCATGCTCTGGAACAGCACCTACGCCCTCTACCAGCACCACTTCCTTTGTTGTACGCCCTTGTGTGCTCCTCTCTTCCCCTGTACGTGCTTCTATGGACTTCCCCTGTACTCCCAGCCCTTCCCCGCCATGCCCCCCTGCGCCCACATGTCCCATCTCACATGATCACATGTTCCGTTGCATGTAATGGCTTTTTCCGTCTCACATAATAGCATGTCCCATCTCACGTAATCACATGTGCCACATCACGTCATCACATGTCCCATCTCATGTAATCACATGTCCCATCTCACGTAATCACATGTCCCATCTCACGTAATCACATGTCCCATCTCACGTAATCACATGTGGTTTCATACAATCGCTCTTTCCATCTCAGATCATCGCATGCCCCATCTCAGATCATCGCATGCCCCATCTCAGATCATCGCATGCCCCATCTCAGATCATCGCATGCCCCATCTCAGATCATCGCATGCCCCATCTCAGATCATCGCATGCCCCATCTCAGATCATCGCATGCCCCATCTCAGATCATCGCATGCCCCATCTCAGATCATCGCATGCCCCATCTCAGATCATCGCATGCCCCATCTCAGATCATCGCATGCCCCATCTCAGATCATCGCATGCCCCATCTCAGATCATCGCATGCCCCATCTCAGATCATCGCATGCCCCATCTCAGATCATCGCATGCCCCATCTCAGATCATCGCATGCCCCATCTCAGATCATCGCATGCCCCATCTCAGATCATCGCATGCCCCATCTCAGATCATCGCATGCCCCATCTCAGATCATCGCATGCCCCATCTCAGATCATCGCATGCCCCATCTCAGATCATCGCATGCCCCATCTCAGATCATCGCATGCCCCATCTCAGATCATCGCATGCCCCATCTCAGATCATCGCATGCCCCATCTCAGATCATCGCATGCCCCATCTCAGATCATCGCATGCCCCATCTCAGATCATCGCATGCCCCATCTCAGATCATCGCATGCCCCATCTCAGATCATCGCATGCCCCATCTCAGATCATCGCATGCCCCATCTCAGATCATCGCATGCCCCATCTCAGATCATCGCATGCCCCATCTCAGATCATCGCATGCCCCATCTCAGATCATCGCATGCCCCATCTCAGATCATCGCATGCCCCATCTCAGATCATCGCATGCCCCATCTCAGATCATCGCATGCCCCATCTCAGATCATCGCATGCCCCATCTCAGATCATCGCATGCCCCATCTCAGATCATCGCATGCCCCATCTCAGATCATCGCATGCCCCATCTCAGATCATCGCATGCCCCATCTCAGATCATCGCATGCCCCATCTCAGATCATCGCATGCCCCATCTCAGATCATCGCATGCCCCATCTCAGATCATCGCATGCCCCATCTCAGATCATCGCATGCCCCATCTCAGATCATCGCATGCCCCATCTCAGATCATCGCATGCCCCATCTCAGATCATCGCATGCCCCATCTCAGATCATCGCATGCCCCATCTCAGATCATCGCATGCCCCATCTCAGATCATCGCATGCCCCATCTCAGATCATCGCATGCCCCATCTCAGATCATCGCATGCCCCATCTCAGATCATCGCATGCCCCATCTCAGATCATCGCATGCCCCATCTCAGATCATCGCATGCCCCATCTCAGATCATCGCATGCCCCATCTCAGATCATCGCATGCCCCATCTCAGATCATCGCATGCCCCATCTCAGATCATCGCATGCCCCATCTCAGATCATCGCATGCCCCATCTCAGATCATCGCATGCCCCATCTCAGATCATCGCATGCCCCATCTCAGATCATCGCATGCCCCATCTCAGATCATCGCATGCCCCATCTCAGATCATCGCATGCCCCATCTCAGATCATCGCATGCCCCATCTCAGATCATCGCATGCCCCATCTCAGATCATCGCATGCCCCATCTCAGATCATCGCATGCCCCATCTCAGATCATCGCATGCCCCATCTCAGATCATCGCATGCCCCATCTCAGATCATCGCATGCCCCATCTCAGATCATCGCATGCCCCATCTCAGATCATCGCATGCCCCATCTCAGATCATCGCATGCCCCATCTCAGATCATCGCATGCCCCATCTCAGATCATCGCATGCCCCATCTCAGATCATCGCATGCCCCATCTCAGATCATCGCATGCCCCATCTCAGATCATCGCATGCCCCATCTCAGATCATCGCATGCCCCATCTCAGATCATCGCATGCCCCATCTCAGATCATCGCATGCCCCATCTCAGATCATCGCATGCCCCATCTCAGATCATCGCATGCCCCATCTCAGATCATCGCATGCCCCATCTCAGATCATCGCATGCCCCATCTCAGATCATCGCATGCCCCATCTCAGATCATCGCATGCCCCATCTCAGATCATCGCATGCCCCATCTCAGATCATCGCATGCCCCATCTCAGATCATCGCATGCCCCATCTCAGATCATCGCATGCCCCATCTCAGATCATCGCATGCCCCATCTCAGATCATCGCATGCCCCATCTCAGATCATCGCATGCCCCATCTCAGATCATCGCATGCCCCATCTCAGATCATCGCATGCCCCATCTCAGATCATCGCATGCCCCATCTCAGATCATCGCATGCCCCATCTCAGATCATCGCATGCCCCATCTCAGATCATCGCATGCCCCATCTCAGATCATCGCATGCCCCATCTCAGATCATCGCATGCCCCATCTCAGATCATCGCATGCCCCATCTCAGATCATCGCATGCCCCATCTCAGATCATCGCATGCCCCATCTCAGATCATCGCATGCCCCATCTCAGATCATCGCATGCCCCATCTCAGATCATCGCATGCCCCATCTCAGATCATCGCATGCCCCATCTCAGATCATCGCATGCCCCATCTCAGATCATCGCATGCCCCATCTCAGATCATCGCATGCCCCATCTCAGATCATCGCATGCCCCATCTCAGATCATCGCATGCCCCATCTCAGATCATCGCATGCCCCATCTCAGATCATCGCATGCCCCATCTCAGATCATCGCATGCCCCATCTCAGATCATCGCATGCCCCATCTCAGATCATCGCATGCCCCATCTCAGATCATCGCATGCCCCATCTCAGATCATCGCATGCCCCATCTCAGATCATCGCATGCCCCATCTCAGATCATCGCATGCCCCATCTCAGATCATCGCATGCCCCATCTCAGATCATCGCATGCCCCATCTCAGATCATCGCATGCCCCATCTCAGATCATCGCATGCCCCATCTCAGATCATCGCATGCCCCATCTCAGATCATCGCATGCCCCATCTCAGATCATCGCATGCCCCATCTCAGATCATCGCATGCCCCATCTCAGATCATCGCATGCCCCATCTCAGATCATCGCATGCCCCATCTCAGATCATCGCATGCCCCATCTCAGATCATCGCATGCCCCATCTCAGATCATCGCATGCCCCATCTCAGATCATCGCATGCCCCATCTCAGATCATCGCATGCCCCATCTCAGATCATCGCATGCCCCATCTCAGATCATCGCATGCCCCATCTCAGATCATCGCATGCCCCATCTCAGATCATCGCATGCCCCATCTCAGATCATCGCATGCCCCATCTCAGATCATCGCATGCCCCATCTCAGATCATCGCATGCCCCATCTCAGATCATCGCATGCCCCATCTCAGATCATCGCATGCCCCATCTCAGATCATCGCATGCCCCATCTCAGATCATCGCATGCCCCATCTCAGATCATCGCATGCCCCATCTCAGATCATCGCATGCCCCATCTCAGATCATCGCATGCCCCATCTCAGATCATCGCATGCCCCATCTCAGATCATCGCATGCCCCATCTCAGATCATCGCATGCCCCATCTCAGATCATCGCATGCCCCATCTCAGATCATCGCATGCCCCATCTCAGATCATCGCATGCCCCATCTCAGATCATCGCATGCCCCATCTCAGATCATCGCATGCCCCATCTCAGATCATCGCATGCCCCATCTCAGATCATCGCATGCCCCATCTCAGATCATCGCATGCCCCATCTCAGATCATCGCATGCCCCATCTCAGATCATCGCATGCCCCATCTCAGATCATCGCATGCCCCATCTCAGATCATCGCATGCCCCATCTCAGATCATCGCATGCCCCATCTCAGATCATCGCATGCCCCATCTCAGATCATCGCATGCCCCATCTCAGATCATCGCATGCCCCATCTCAGATCATCGCATGCCCCATCTCAGATCATCGCATGCCCCATCTCAGATCATCGCATGCCCCATCTCAGATCATCGCATGCCCCATCTCAGATCATCGCATGCCCCATCTCAGATCATCGCATGCCCCATCTCAGATCATCGCATGCCCCATCTCAGATCATCGCATGCCCCATCTCAGATCATCGCATGCCCCATCTCAGATCATCGCATGCCCCATCTCAGATCATCGCATGCCCCATCTCAGATCATCGCATGCCCCATCTCAGATCATCGCATGCCCCATCTCAGATCATCGCATGCCCCATCTCAGATCATCGCATGCCCCATCTCAGATCATCGCATGCCCCATCTCAGATCATCGCATGCCCCATCTCAGATCATCGCATGCCCCATCTCAGATCATCGCATGCCCCATCTCAGATCATCGCATGCCCCATCTCAGATCATCGCATGCCCCATCTCAGATCATCGCATGCCCCATCTCAGATCATCGCATGCCCCATCTCAGATCATCGCATGCCCCATCTCAGATCATCGCATGCCCCATCTCAGATCATCGCATGCCCCATCTCAGATCATCGCATGCCCCATCTCAGATCATCGCATGCCCCATCTCAGATCATCGCATGCCCCATCTCAGATCATCGCATGCCCCATCTCAGATCATCGCATGCCCCATCTCAGATCATCGCATGCCCCATCTCAGATCATCGCATGCCCCATCTCAGATCATCGCATGCCCCATCTCAGATCATCGCATGCCCCATCTCAGATCATCGCATGCCCCATCTCAGATCATCGCATGCCCCATCTCAGATCATCGCATGCCCCATCTCAGATCATCGCATGCCCCATCTCAGATCATCGCATGCCCCATCTCAGATCATCGCATGCCCCATCTCAGATCATCGCATGCCCCATCTCAGATCATCGCATGCCCCATCTCAGATCATCGCATGCCCCATCTCAGATCATCGCATGCCCCATCTCAGATCATCGCATGCCCCATCTCAGATCATCGCATGCCCCATCTCAGATCATCGCATGCCCCATCTCAGATCATCGCATGCCCCATCTCAGATCATCGCATGCCCCATCTCAGATCATCGCATGCCCCATCTCAGATCATCGCATGCCCCATCTCAGATCATCGCATGCCCCATCTCAGATCATCGCATGCCCCATCTCAGATCATCGCATGCCCCATCTCAGATCATCGCATGCCCCATCTCAGATCATCGCATGCCCCATCTCAGATCATCGCATGCCCCATCTCAGATCATCGCATGCCCCATCTCAGATCATCGCATGCCCCATCTCAGATCATCGCATGCCCCATCTCAGATCATCGCATGCCCCATCTCAGATCATCGCATGCCCCATCTCAGATCATCGCATGCCCCATCTCAGATCATCGCATGCCCCATCTCAGATCATCGCATGCCCCATCTCAGATCATCGCATGCCCCATCTCAGATCATCGCATGCCCCATCTCAGATCATCGCATGCCCCATCTCAGATCATCGCATGCCCCATCTCAGATCATCGCATGCCCCATCTCAGATCATCGCATGCCCCATCTCAGATCATCGCATGCCCCATCTCAGATCATCGCATGCCCCATCTCAGATCATCGCATGCCCCATCTCAGATCATCGCATGCCCCATCTCAGATCATCGCATGCCCCATCTCAGATCATCGCATGCCCCATCTCAGATCATCGCATGCCCCATCTCAGATCATCGCATGCCCCATCTCAGATCATCGCATGCCCCATCTCAGATCATCGCATGCCCCATCTCAGATCATCGCATGCCCCATCTCAGATCATCGCATGCCCCATCTCAGATCATCGCATGCCCCATCTCAGATCATCGCATGCCCCATCTCAGATCATCGCATGCCCCATCTCAGATCATCGCATGCCCCATCTCAGATCATCGCATGCCCCATCTCAGATCATCGCATGCCCCATCTCAGATCATCGCATGCCCCATCTCAGATCATCGCATGCCCCATCTCAGATCATCGCATGCCCCATCTCAGATCATCGCATGCCCCATCTCAGATCATCGCATGCCCCATCTCAGATCATCGCATGCCCCATCTCAGATCATCGCATGCCCCATCTCAGATCATCGCATGCCCCATCTCAGATCATCGCATGCCCCATCTCAGATCATCGCATGCCCCATCTCAGATCATCGCATGCCCCATCTCAGATCATCGCATGCCCCATCTCAGATCATCGCATGCCCCATCTCAGATCATCGCATGCCCCATCTCAGATCATCGCATGCCCCATCTCAGATCATCGCATGCCCCATCTCAGATCATCGCATGCCCCATCTCAGATCATCGCATGCCCCATCTCAGATCATCGCATGCCCCATCTCAGATCATCGCATGCCCCATCTCAGATCATCGCATGCCCCATCTCAGATCATCGCATGCCCCATCTCAGATCATCGCATGCCCCATCTCAGATCATCGCATGCCCCATCTCAGATCATCGCATGCCCCATCTCAGATCATCGCATGCCCCATCTCAGATCATCGCATGCCCCATCTCAGATCATCGCATGCCCCATCTCAGATCATCGCATGCCCCATCTCAGATCATCGCATGCCCCATCTCAGATCATCGCATGCCCCATCTCAGATCATCGCATGCCCCATCTCAGATCATCGCATGCCCCATCTCAGATCATCGCATGCCCCATCTCAGATCATCGCATGCCCCATCTCAGATCATCGCATGCCCCATCTCAGATCATCGCATGCCCCATCTCAGATCATCGCATGCCCCATCTCAGATCATCGCATGCCCCATCTCAGATCATCGCATGCCCCATCTCAGATCATCGCATGCCCCATCTCAGATCATCGCATGCCCCATCTCAGATCATCGCATGCCCCATCTCAGATCATCGCATGCCCCATCTCAGATCATCGCATGCCCCATCTCAGATCATCGCATGCCCCATCTCAGATCATCGCATGCCCCATCTCAGATCATCGCATGCCCCATCTCAGATCATCGCATGCCCCATCTCAGATCATCGCATGCCCCATCTCAGATCATCGCATGCCCCATCTCAGATCATCGCATGCCCCATCTCAGATCATCGCATGCCCCATCTCAGATCATCGCATGCCCCATCTCAGATCATCGCATGCCCCATCTCAGATCATCGCATGCCCCATCTCAGATCATCGCATGCCCCATCTCAGATCATCGCATGCCCCATCTCAGATCATCGCATGCCCCATCTCAGATCATCGCATGCCCCATCTCAGATCATCGCATGCCCCATCTCAGATCATCGCATGCCCCATCTCAGATCATCGCATGCCCCATCTCAGATCATCGCATGCCCCATCTCAGATCATCGCATGCCCCATCTCAGATCATCGCATGCCCCATCTCAGATCATCGCATGCCCCATCTCAGATCATCGCATGCCCCATCTCAGATCATCGCATGCCCCATCTCAGATCATCGCATGCCCCATCTCAGATCATCGCATGCCCCATCTCAGATCATCGCATGCCCCATCTCAGATCATCGCATGCCCCATCTCAGATCATCGCATGCCCCATCTCAGATCATCGCATGCCCCATCTCAGATCATCGCATGCCCCATCTCAGATCATCGCATGCCCCATCTCAGATCATCGCATGCCCCATCTCAGATCATCGCATGCCCCATCTCAGATCATCGCATGCCCCATCTCAGATCATCGCATGCCCCATCTCAGATCATCGCATGCCCCATCTCAGATCATCGCATGCCCCATCTCACGTAGTCATGCTTCCCATCCTGCCCAATGCCTCCATCATCCCACTAACCGCCCCGGACTCATTTATTTCGACATGCTGCCCCGCCATGCCCCTGGCATGCCATGAACACCCCCATCTGCTCCCATGCCACCCAGCCAACCTCGAGTCCTTCTCGGTGCGCCTGCCATACATTGACGTGTCCCAGTGCACTGCCAACCCTGTCCTGACTTCTCCCTTCCAACATGCTCTCCACTTCCCCGCCAGCCAACCCAACTCCTTCTCCGTGTTCCTACCTGACATCGACTTGCCCCAGTCGACTATTGCTCACTCCTCCCTCCCCCTGGGCCGCTGTGCTCCTCCATGCCCCCCACCCACCCACCAGCCAACCCTGACTCCTCTGTCCATCTGCCATACATCGACGTGCCCGAGTGGACCACAGTGGAGCACCGTCACCCCTGACTGCCCTCTTTCAACATGCTGCACCTCATGCCCCACCGTGCCCCCTCACCCCACCCCCGCCCACCAGCCAACCCCGACTCCTTCTCAGTGTACCTGCCGTACATTGACGTGCCCGAGTGGACCACCGTGGAGCACCGCCTCTCCAAGGTCGCCCCCGCCCGCTACCGTGCGCTGCAGCTGCAGGTGAGACTGCTATCCACATGATCCCATTGCTCATCTATGTGGACCCCTCACATGTCCTCTCCAGCATGCGATGATGTCTACATCACATGGTCTCTTGAGGCATCGCAAAACATTCCCTTTCCACCATCCCTCCTACCCCCAGGTGATCCACGTGATCCCATCCCTCATTTATGTGGAACCCCCCCTCACATGTCCTCTCCAACATGCCTTTCCTCCATCTTGCCCTCTCCCCCCCATCTTTTCCATCTCCACAACCTCAGGTGATCCACATGATTCCATCGCTCATCTACGTGGACCCCTCACATGTCCTCTCCAACGTGCGCGATGCTGTCGATATTGCCATCGACCACATGGTCGACCTCTGGCGCGACCGCAAGGCTCGGCATGAGTATCCCATACCCTCCACAGCCTCCGAGCCTGCTGGCGCAGGCACGGAGACTAAAGAGGAAGGGCATGGCAAACGATTGGCGGATGTGACGCTGAGCGAATTAAGTGCTGGTGGTGAGGAGATTGCTCACGAAGAGGCAAAGGATCGCAGCAGTGCCAACAATGAAGGATGATGCGAGGATTTACACTATGGGTGTGAATTTGCCTCAAGTGGAGCATGTGTTGATATACTAGTCTTCATTTTGCTGCTTCAAAGCTGTTATTAGAGCCCTTAAGGGCCCAATTACGCATAGGATGTGTTTGACTTGGGTAGAGCTTGTAGCAATTGATGAATTATTAGTGAATTTGTTTGAAGGAAACATAAGACAACAGCGTATATGAAGGAACTGGCACAGTAAATGACCAGCACATTGCGGCTCGTAGCACGCTTCTCACGAGGACAACAAATCTTGTGGCTGTGAACGCCTCAATCCTCTCTGGCGGGGAATTTCCAAAAACAAATCAAACCTGGTGGTGACCTGGAAACTTTCAGGGAATGCCGACAACTCTCTGACGTGGGTGTTTCCCTTCCTGACACCGTTTCTGCTTCACGCAAAAAGCCTCCCACCCACCCACCATGAGGGCATATTTTGTGCCGAGCTCTATCAGCAGCAGCGGGAGTCGCATTGTCGTGCTGCTCGCTGGCGGCAGCTCAAATGAATTCCGCCGTGCTGCCATCGTCGCAATCCGTCGCACAGTCGCCCATGCACCGCCTCGGTAGCATCCTACGGACGGTCCGGTCCGTTCGACCAACCACAGTGGCCCGTAGCGCGCCGTTCTTGCGAGACGGTCCCGTTTTCGTCCCCGCTACACGCCGACTGCCGGTGTCGTTTTCGGGACGCGAGATTTCGACAGTGGTCCCCGTTGCAGATGCCTTTGCAGTATCTAACGCTGTAGGCGGCAATAACGACGCCTACCTGTCCTCGCGACGGGTACTACGGAGTCTTAGCGGTTTATTTCCGTCACCGCCTGCGGCTGGATACGCGCTAAGAGCAGGTCGAGGTGAGCTCGTTAGGGCGTTTGCGTCGAAAAGCGATGCCGTGACGGGGGGAAGGGAGACCGATGGCAAAGGGGAAATTAGTTCCGGGCTAGAGAGCAGCGGAGGAGGCGGGGCCGATGCGGGGAAGGAAGTGCGCGGCGAGGGGGCCGGTGGCGGAAGCGGCGGCGCTGGAGGCGCGAGTGACGTTGATTTCATGGCGGCGGTGATTATCGACGAGGGACTGGCGGCGGAGGTGGCGGCGCGTGGGCAGACGGAGACGTGGAAGGTGAGGAGGAATAACCGACCTTCGTATGAGGACCATTGCACGAGGATGCGTATTGGAGGATTCGTGTGGGAGGCGAGTACATACTGGGGAACCAGCCGACAGTCCTAAGTGGATAAGGCCCTTACCTGTTGCTTTACGGAGGAGCATCATGGGCAGAAACCTGCTCCCTCTGCTACCTTACTCTGCTATCCTGTCCCTCGTGTCAGCACGCCCCTGCTTTCCCAATTCTTCCGTGCACCTTGAATCCCTCGCCTTACACTCTACGTTTCCCCATCTACCCAACAATCCCCGAATTCTCTTCCCCCCTCCCCTCCCTCCCCCCAACCCTTCCCCGCCCCCTCTTTTTTCCCCCTCCGCCAGGCCTTGGCGGAGGAGCTGCGCTTGGATGCGGCGTCCGCGCTGGCGCTGGCCATGGAGGAGTTTGAGGAGGTGCAGAGCGGTTCCGGGGTGGCGGCTGCGGAGATGTCCGTGCTGTTGTGCACGGACGCTTATATCAGGGAGCTCAATAACGAGTGGCGGGGTGTAGATGCGCCAACGGACGTGCTGTCCTTCCCGCAAGACCAGCCTGCGGGGCTCTCCCCTCTGGTAGGGAGGGACAACCAACAGTAACCTTCCCACTCAGTCGAGATTGGTTTGCTTCTCTTCGTGTTAACCATGCTTCCGGTCCCTCCAGCAACATGGATGACTTGGAGTTCACTCAGTAGCCAGTTCAGCGCAGCAGCTTCGTTGCTCCTGCGTTTGCTTCTCACGTCCACCTTACTCTCCCACTCCACTGCCTATTAGCGTTCCCTTGTGTTGCTGTCACCAAGTGTCTTATGAGGATTCACAGGGCACCATTTAACGGTCCTTCTCCTCCTCCCTGTGTCGATCCGTTGCACTGACGCCTGTCCTGCAGTTGCTTCTGGGCGATGTGATTATATCGGTGGAGACGGCGCAGCGGCAAGCCAACGAGAGAGGCCATTCACTCTTGGACGAGCTTCGCATTCTCATGGTAACGTGCTCCTTGTAACATGCTGGTACCATGCTGCACCTGCTGGGATGGGATCGATCGGGTATGATGGCTGATGCGTCCTCTGTCTTCCCCTCACTCTCTCCTCTCGGCACCGCTGCACAGCAGGCTGCATCTGCTGGTTATGATAACCGTGACTCTTGAGCTCACTTAGACGGTTTCGTAATCCTTACCCGCCCCCGCCCCCCCCCATCTCTGCATTCCTTCCTCCCAAACATCCCTCCTCGCCCCCCACTTCTCCCCTTCCTCGTCCGCCTTCCCCCCTCGCTCATTCCTCCCCAACCCCTCCCTCTCTTCTCACGTGCACAGCATGCTGCATCTGCTACGGTATGACCAATGCTTCCTCCAACTCTTCCCTTCGCCTTCCTCACCCACCTCCCCCTCCCCCTCCCCCTCCCCCTCCCGCTTCCCCTCCTCCCCCCATTTCCTCCCTCGCCCCCCAACAGGTGCACGGCATGCTGCATCTGCTGGGCTATGACCACGAGGCACCCAAGGGAATTTTGCAGGGCGCTGCTGACTCAGCGATGTCAGAAGCTGAGCTGGCGGCGGCAGTGCGTGAGTCAGCGGAGCAGATGGCAACAGAGGAGCTGCGGATTTTGGAGGCATTTGCGTGGCGGGGGGTGGGGTTGGTGGCTGCTGCGCTTGGGGAAGATGGGGGAGGGGCGCAGGGAGGGGAGGAGGGAAGAGGAGAGGGAGGAGGGGAGGTTGGAGGGGAGGAGGGTGAGAAGGGGGGTGTGAAGGCCAGGATGACAAGGATTGGCATGGTGCAAGGTGTGTGCTGGTGGGGGGACAGTTGCGAGGTGTGGAAGGGGTTGAGATGGGTGCAATGGGTGGCGAGGGATGGAAAGGGGTTGAGAGGAATGGTGAGGAATGGATACAAGTGGAAGAAAGGAAGGCAAGGGAGTTGAGGTGTGACAGTTGTTGCTAGATGCCTTGAAATTGCCAATTGGTTTCTTCTGTTGTCCTCTGTGTGCTTGGTTATGGCAGGGTGGACAAGATTTGTGACAATAACGGGGGAGGGGGAAGAGGGAGGGGATGGTGAGGAAGGTGGCGCGGGGAAGCACAAGGGGAAACACAAGGGCAGGCATGGGAGGGGGAAGGAGGAGAAGGGGAAGGAGAAGGGGAAGAAGGCTGGGAAAGTGCTTGATGTGGGGGCGGAGAAGGAGAGAGAGCATAAGAAGGGCAAAGAGAAGGAGAAGGAGAGAGGGAAGGAGAAGGGAGAGAAGAGGCGGACCAAGAAAGCCCCGTTCCAGCTGCTCTTGTGCGACATGGATGGTATGTGTGGTGTGTGGATGGTATGTGCGACGAGAGGGAGCACCTCTCGAATAGCAGAGACGGCACTTGAAGAAAAAAAACACCTAAGGCGTGCTCTTATGGACGCTTCTGCAGCACACGCAAGGCCGTGCATTATGCCAGGCCTCTGTTCTGCATTATGCCAGGCCTCTGTTCTGCATTCTCCCATATTTCTTCTCCTCCCGTGCGTGCGTGCCAGGCACACTGCTCAACAGCACCAGCAAGATCCAGCAGAGCCTTCGAGCGCTCACACGCCAAGGGCGTGCACTGTACCACGCCAAGGGCGTGCACTGTACCACGCCTCTCATCTGCATTCTCCTCCCATGTTCCTTCCTTTCCCCCCTGCATCTGCCTGCCAGGCACGCTGCTCAACAGCGCCAGCAAGATCGCCCCCTCCACAGCAGAGGCACTGAGAGCAGCCCACGCCAGGGGCGTGCGGGTGGCCATCGCCACGGGCAAAGCGAGACCGGCTGCCATGTCCGCCCTGGGCGCGGCCGGGCTGGTTGGTGCTGCCGGGATCTTCAGTGACAAGTCCCCGGGGGTGTTCCTGCAGGTGGGTGGGACTTCGGGCTAGCGTGTTTGCTTGCATGGGCAGATATCAGGTGCTTCAGGTATGCGAGTGCGGGTGGCCATAGCCACGGGCAAGGCACGGCCAGCTGCCATGTCCGCTGTGGGCGTGGCACGGCTGGTTGGTGCTGCCGGGATCTTCAGCCACAAGTCCCCAGGGGTGTTCCTGCAGGTGGGACGTATGGCTGAAGCCTAGGGCTAGGATGTTTGTTTCCATGGGCACGTATCAGCTGCTTCAGGCATTCAGCAACAAGTGGGGAGGGGGTGCCTGCAGGTGTGCTGTGTACAAGCTGCAGGTAAGTATTACGAAAGGCTGCTGCTGCGTACGGCAAGGGCCTTTTCGCGGTCCACAGCTAGATATCTGCCACGTCAGGGAGGCCTGAATCGGTCACAGCTGCAGGCAAGGCCAGCTGCCATGTCCGCTCTGGGCGTGGCAAGGCTGGTGGAGTCTGCTGGGATCTTCACTAGGTGTGCGCTCACACTAGTGCATTCCTTTTGGCTCTCAACCCTCCTGGGCGTGAGGATGTGTGGCAAGAAAGGCAGTTGGTGCAGCACACTGCTCGCGTCTTCGCACCTTGCTGCTTTCTTCCTTGTATTCTCACTGCTATCTGCCCCTCTCCTCTCCTTTTCAGGGTCTGAGGGTGTACGGCAAGGGAGGCAGGGTGGTGCACAACGCGCTGCTGCCCAGCGAGGTCACTCAGGAGGTGAGTTCCCGCCTCCGTCATGCCCACATGTGTCTATGCTTGTGTCTTTAGTGTGTGCGGTAATGGAGAGAGGGTGCATTTTACATCCTCCTCCACTGTCAGGCGACTCACGCCGTCACCTTGTCACCCTCCCCTTGTCACTTCCTCTAACCCGGCCTAGCGCTTTCCTTGTTAACTCCTCTTTCATCTTCCACCTCTACCCACTGTCTGTTCCTGCCTCGCGCACTTCCTCGCTCCCTCCCATCCATCCTGTTTATCCTCTCTCGCTCCTCCCCCTCCTCCTTCCTCCACCGCAGGGCTTTGAGTTGGCCCTGAAGCGCGGCAAGGCAAGGTGAAGCACATGAGTTCACATGGAACCTCGTTGCTCCACGGCTGCCTCAATGCCTTCCCACCGCCCTTCCTCCGCCCCACAGGGCTTTGAGTTGGCCCTGAAGCGCGGCAAGGCAAGGTGAAGCACATGAGTTCACATGGAACCTCGTTGCTCCACGGCTGCCTCAATGCCTTCCCACCGCCCTTCCTCCGCCCCACAGGGCTTTGAGTTGGCCCTGAAGCGCGGCAAGGCAAGGTGAAGCACATGAGTTCACATGGAACCTCGTTGCTCCACGGCTGCCTCAATGCCTTCCCACCGCCCTTCCTCCGCCCCACAGGGCTTTGAGTTGGCCCTGAAGCGCGGCAAGGCAAGGTGAAGCACATGAGTTCACATGGAACCTCGTTGCTCCACGGCTGCCTCAATGCCTTCCCACCGCCCTTCCTCCGCCCCACAGGGCTTTGAGTTCGCCCTGAAGCACGGCAAGGCACTTATTGGCTTCTGTGGGGACCGCTGCGTGACACTTGTCGATCACCCATTGGTGGAGGCACTGCACACCATCTACTACGAGCCACGGGTATGGTGCAGGAAACAGTGTCCTTACCATTACACGCCATGAATTTTTCTTTCGCCGTTCTCATGTTCCTCGTGCTCCTGTTTTTGTGTGGTGTGCTGACATTCCTTATCTGCTCCTGCTTTCTTGCTCTTTTACGTGTGTGTGGCAGGCAGAGGTGATGCCGAGTGTGCACCACATCATGAATGAGACACCCATTCAGGTGAGATCATCAACACCCGAGTCGTGTGGCACTTAACGAGGTGACCCCGGCAGCTGTCAGACATTTAGGTGAAGTGTCCATCATCCTCTCTGAAGCCCCTTTTGCATCGATTCTCTCCCCTCTCTCGCTTACCACCCTCTTACCACTCCCTCCTGCTCTGCTGCTCACCTTACCCCCATCGCCTGCCCTTCAAGCAGAAGCTATTGTTCTACGACACGCCGCACGGCATTGACGGCTTCATTCGTCCTTTCTGGTCGGCCGCTACAGCCGGCCGTGCAACAGTGACCCAGGCGGTGCCGGACATGCTGGAGATCCTGCCGCCCGGGCAATCCAAGGGGGCGGGAGTGCGAGTGCTGCTGGACCATCTCAAGCTCTCTGCTGAGCAGGTCGGTCCTCCCAGCGTACATATGGTGCAGCATTTTGCTGCACAACTGTTTTACTACCCCTCTGCTTTTCTCTCAGCAACATACGCACACGTGCTGTGCGCGCAAGCGCGCGCGCACGCGCGCACACACACACACACACACACACACACACACACACACACACACACACACACACACACACACACACACACGCACGCACGCACGCACGCACACGCACGCACGCACGCACAAGCCCAGATGGACACAGGCCCTTTCCTCCATGTCAGTGGACCGAGTTTTCACGTCATTGATGATGTTCATTCTTCCTATTTGTTGCAGGTTATGGCAATTGGAGATGGCGAGAACGATCTTGAAATGATTGAGATGGTGGGTTGGGGGGTGGCTATGGCGAATGGTTCCGAGAAGACTAAAGCTGTTGCGAAGGCCACAGTCGCAAGCAATGATGATGATGGTATTGCAGAAGCGATTCATAAATTCATATTGTAAAGCACTCCGTGTATTCATTCCGAATTGTATTCTTTCTGCTTATAATGGTATTTTGTTATTAAATAACATGCTAGAAATCGTAACCTTCCGTGTCTTCATTCCGAATTGTCTATTGGGACTGACGACAAGCGAAAAGCGCGAAAGTGAACTCTGACAGAATTTGGACATCCGAGCCATCCGAACTTGGTCGTGGGTCCGGTTGTTCAAACGGCGACCGTCAACTAGGTCTCGTCACCTCGATTTCTCCCTCATCTCTTGCCGCTCATTCCGTCACATCACGTCCATTCCCCTACATCTACAAATCGCAGCCCGCAACCAGCGTGGCGGAATCCTCCTTGTGAATGTTCAAGTCGCGTTTACAAGGGCAGTTGTCAGAAGCTTTGCTACATTCTAGATTTCCGTCCAGCGTTTCGGGCACGCACAGGAATCAGGGCCACTTATTTTCACACGGTCGGTCGACGACCCACCGAAGTAATGGGCGCTGTCAGAACTGCCTCCTTCTAACCTGAATAGTATCGTTCGCGATCCAATCCCCATGGACACGTCAACTGCCGCGCATCCTGCGCAGGTGTCCCTCCCCGCCACGCCAGAATCGCGGAGCGCAGGAAACGTGCAGGAATCCGCGAATGGCTCGAGCACCGCGTCGACGCCGCGCAGTCACAAAGAAATGGAGGCGCTCGCGTACTCCTCCGGCCAGAGCCTCGCGTCGGTTCTTAACGACCCGCGCCTCGGCAAGGCCGGAATTTACGGAACCGAGAACGCGTGGACGTGGATTACCGCGCAGCGGCCGGTGGAGCCGGTTTTAGAGGGTCCTCCGCCTTTGCCGCCGGAAATTCAGGATTTTCCCATGTCGGAATTTCAGCCGTATTTGCAGCGGATGCGGGAGCCGTACGGGCGATTCGTTGACGTGCAGGAGCATTCCACGTGGGAGTTGGCCACTGGGGAGGCACCCGGTGCTGACGTGGACAGCGAGGGGAGAGAGGAACGGAAAGGGAAGGGTATTCTAGCATCGCGGTCAGAGGGTCAGGGTCTAGCAGCGTGTCTTAGGGAAATACCCCCGGTTTATTTCGACGAGCATTTTGCTCTTGAGCGGAAGGAGATTTTTGATACGGTCTGCCCATCTCCCTCCATTCCCGCAAATATGCTTCTACAGGAGAAATTATCGCATTACTTAGACCTCGTGGAAGTACACTTAGTTAAGGAAATCTCTTCCCGCTCCGACTCGTTCTTCGAGGCCCTGGAAAAACTGGAAGATCTGAACCGTGGGATCGTGGAGACGTGCGATCGCATCCGTCTGTTGCGCGGCACGGTGGGGATGCTGGACGAGGATCTGCTGGAAGGATCGCGGAAGCTGCAGACGACCAAGGTTCGGCGGGAGAATCTGCTGCAGCTGCATCAGAAGCTGAAGCTAGTGGCGTTCGTCCACCAGGCCATGGCGACGTTGAAGCTGGTAAGACGCAATTGGGTAGGAAGCCATTCCGTCAGTCGGTGTCCGCGGGTGACTGTGCGGGCACGTGGACGTGATGGGAGGACCTCGGACGCGTCATGCACGGCAGCGAGCTGGTCGGTGCTCATTATCGCGACGTGCACCCCCTGCTTCCTGCATTCTCATCCCCCCTTGCTGCCTCACATCCCACCACCCAACCACCCCATTGTCCCACCGCATCCCACCAGCTGGTGTCATCGGGCGACTGTGCAGGCGCGCTGGACGTGATGGACGATCTGAGGCGCCTCATGGAGGGGCAGGAGCCCACTGGGTGCTCGTAACTGTAACTTGCACCCCGTGCTTCCTGCCCTGCCCACCAATCCTTCCTTACTGCCCATTCTCCCACCACCCCACCCAATTCACCAGCTGGTGTCATCGGGCGACTGTGCGGGCGCGCTGGACGTGATGGACGACTTGAGGCGCCTCATGGAGGGGCAGGAGCTGGCAGGGCTGCACTGCTTCCGCCCCCTCAACGACCTCCTCCTCTCCTCCTCCGATGCCGTCAACAGGTCCGTCAGTCTCTCTTCTCTCTCTCTCCCACTCTCGCCTCCCACTCTCCTTTCCACTCTTCCTTGCCATTCTCCCCTCCATCTCTCCCATTCTTCTATTCTGTCCCATCAGTCTCCTCACGTTCTTCTCCCCACTTTCACTGATGAGCGCGCTCGACCTCTCTCAAACACAGAACCACACTCCTATTTCTCACAGAACTGGCATCCCATACCCCTCCCATCCGCCCACCCAGTCTCTAACAGTTGACTTTGCAGGAAAAGTTATGACGTTTGAGTCACTCAGAAGTTGCTTCTGCTCCTTCCTAAGTCTCTCTCATGCCACCACCGCCACACTTCCTCCCCACTCACCCTTTCCACCCACCAGTCCCCTGACATCACACTGTGCCAGAGGCATTGACTTTTGAGTCAACTCTAGAGTCAGCTTTGTTCCTTTCTATCGTCACTGCCACACCACCTCTTTTCTTTCCCTCTTCCCTTCCCCCTCTCCCCTCTCCCCACCCCTCCCTTTCCCCCCTCGCAGCCTCCTAACAGCTGACTTTGTGAGGGAAGCAGTGCACGATGCTGCTGACGTGGCACCTTCCGCTATAGTCACCAGTTTCAACCTCCAGAAGAGTGTGCCGCCCGCCGCAACGCTGCTCTCGATAGTCAACCTCGAGGTGCGTGCAGAAACCTTGTCATAATAAATTCAAAGCGTGGTGACTGCTGCAGTATCATCAGCCTTCTTCTGGCGCGCTCAGGGCCTGTAGAGCTAGTCTTCCAGTCCTCCCTATGGCTCTGTCTGTCCTAGTAATCGAGGTCTCAGAACCCTCACTAGTTGGCCCCACAGGTCTGTTATTGTTTGCTACTCTGTCTCCTGTGTGCACCGCCATGGCTCCTGTCCAAGTCCTGTCTTGCCCTGTTTTCCGCCGTGTGTTTGTGTGTCCGCTCCGTCCATGCTTTGTCTCACCCCGTGCATGCCTGGTGCGTGCATGTTTCCCAACCCAACGCGCTTCCCATCCATGCCCCATCCATGCCCCATCCGTGGCCCATCCATGCCCCATCCATGGCCCATCCATGCCCCATCCATGCCCCATCCATGCCCCGTCCATGCCCCATCCATGCCCCGTCAATTCCCTGTCCGTGCCTGCTGTATGCCTGGACTCGCCATATCAATGCTGCGTGCATGCAGCGAGAGGGCATGGAGGAGAGGGAGGCCCGCCTAAGGGAGCATCTGCTGCCGCTCGTCATCAGCCTGCTGCGCACAGTGAGTGAGGGATCAGGGTTGTGAGGTGACGGTTCAGGTGTCTCCCCTCCCCCAGTCGTGCCTGCCAGCAGTGCTAGGTGCATATTCAAATGCAGTGAATGTGGACATCAAGGCGGCAGTGATGTTCCTTCATCTCCTTACACTCCCTCCTATCCCTACTCCCCTGCCCCCCCTTTTCCTCTCCCAGTCGCGCTTGCCGGCAGTGCTGCGTGCCTATCGAGATGCAGTGAATGCGGACATCAAGGCGGCAGTGAAGCTTTATCATCCCTTTCACCTCCCCCTAACCGCAACTCCCCATCCCCTCACCAGTCGCGCCTGCCTGCAGTGCTGCGAGCATACAGAGACGCAGTGAATGTGGACATCAAGGCGGCCGTGAAGACGGTGGTGGGCGAGCTGCTGCCGCTGCTCTTCCTGCAGCACGCCGCTGCTGCTGCTGCTGCTGGCGGGGCGCCGGGTGGTGCAGGAGGGGAGGGGGGCGACGCTGCAGCCGATGCCCTGAACGGTGAGACCTGCGGGCAGTGGGGGATGGAACGAGAGGGAGGGAGGGGCTGATTTGGAGTGGTTTCTTTAAATTCTCAACGACCAAGGGGAGGGGGGCGAGCCTGCAGCAGTTATCTTGAATGGTGAGACACGGGGGGGTGCAGTGCAAGTGAGAGGGAGGGGCTAATCTGAGAATCCTTTCTGAGAGGGAGGTGAGGCTCCTGCTTCTGGTATCTTGAGTGGTGGGAGGAGGGGTTGGCGTGGAGTCATTTTTGTACGGTTGTCAAAAGGAAAGCACGGGGATCATGCGAGGGAGCTTCCACTCCCACTTTCTTCCACCTTTCCCCGACTACCATGTACACATCAATCTCTTCATCCTTCCAACTCCTCTCCCAACTCAACCCCCCTTCCTCCTTTTCTTCCCTCCCCTTTCCTCCCATCCCCGTCTTCCCCCACCCCCCACCCAGCGCCATCACTGGCCCTCAAGCTCCGTGCCCTCGCCCCGCCCGCCTTCGTCCACTTGCTGCTGGCCGTCTTCTCTGCCGTCCAGACCCGCCTCGTGCGGGCGGCAGCCGTTCGGAACGTAGTGTCTGGCATTGCCACCGCCGGAGCTGCTGCCGGTGCTGCTGCCACGGCCGCCGAGCCTGCCGTGGGGTACGAGGCTGCTGCCGTGGCTGCGGCGTTTGCTTCGGGGGCAGAGCTAGTGGTGGCTGCCGAGGCTGCTGAGTCGAAGCTGCTGGGGAGGAAAGGGGTGGGAAAAGCCTTGGGAGCGGGAGGGGCGGCAGGAGGCGTTGGGGGAGCAGCTGAAAGCGGGGAGGCAGCAGGGGGCGATGTGAGCAGCGTGACTGCTTTAGCCACTTCCAAACAGCTCAGGTGCCTTGTGCTCCCACCCAACTGACCACTGTCACCTGTGTTCCCACCTGGGCTCTGCCTCCTGTGCTTCCACCTGACCTCCCACTGCACGCATGCAAGGTGGTGCTTCGTTTTCTCCCCTCCCAGTTAAAGTCCGTCCTTACTCTCGCCACCACTCCCCATCCCTCCCCTCAGAGCGGACGTGTTGAGGGAGAATGCGGAGGCAGTGAGCGATGCATGTGAGGTGGCGCACGGGCGGTGGGCGAAGCTGCTGGGCGTGCGAGCACAGGTGCACCCGAAGCTGTCTTTGGGGGACTTTGTGGACATGTACGCTGTCACCTCCGACTTCATCGCATCAACGGAGCGGGTAAGTTATTGTTGTGTGGGGCATGCCATGCCATGGGGTATTAGGTAACTCGAAGCTGCCTCTGGGAAATGACTTGGTGGATGTGTACGCTGTCGCCTTCGACTTCATCGCATCAACGGAAAGGGTGAGCTATTCTTTTGTGGGGCATGCCATGCCATGGGGTATGAGCTGATCCGTGTGCGGGGTATGGCACATTGGTTTAATGTGAACTCACTGCTGCCTCTGAGCGACTTTGGTGGACATGTATGCTGGGACTTGGTGGACATGTATGCTGGGACTTGGGCATTCATTGGACCAACGGAGCTGGTGAGCTGATGCTGCCGTGTGTGGTGACATTCGCCCTGCCTCTGTGCCGCAGGTGGGTGGCAGTCTGAACGGGGCCAGAATCACCGCTCGTGTTGTTTATCATCATGCCTCCCCTCTTTACCTTTCCGTGCCGTACACTGCCTCTCCCAATTGATCCCCTCTGTGCTACAGGTGGGCGGCAGGCTGGGCTACAGCATACGGGGCGCGCTACAGTCGCAGGCCAAGGCGTTTGTGGAGACACACCACTCAAGAGAGGTGAGGGATCACAGAGGAAGGAGGTGAGGGAAAGCAGTGGAAGGAGGTGAGGTGTAGCAGAGGAGGAAGGTGAGAAGCGAGAGGCAAGGCGAGAGGCAAGGCGACAGGCAAGGCGAGAGGCAAGGCGAGAGGCAAGGCGAGAGGCAAGGCGAGAGGCAAGGCGAGAGGCAAGGCGAGAGGCAAGGCGAGAGGCAAGGCGAGAGGCAAGGCGAGAGGCAAGGCGAGAGGCAAGGCGAGAGGCAAGGAGACAGGCAAGGCGAGAGGCAAGGCGAGAGGCAAGGCGAGAGGCAAGGCGAGAGGCAAGGAGACATGGACGGCTGTAGACGCGCGTTCACTTCACACCTGTTGGGCCCCTGTTCTCCCCGCTCTCTTCACACCTGTTGGGCCCCTGTTCTCCCCGCTCTCTTCACACCTGTTGGGCCCCTGTTCTCCCCGCTCTCTTTTCCGTGCTTCCTACTCCCTGCTCTCCTCTCCATTCTCCCCTTATCATCCCACCAGATGGCGCTCATCCTCGCACTGCTCAACAAGGAGACATGGACGGCCGTGGATGCCACTCCTCACACTCAAGCCCTCGTCGACTTCTTCTGCACTTTCCTGGATCCTTCTGCCGAAGCCGCTGCTGCTGCCGCTGCTGATGCGGCTGCTGCTGTTGCTGCTTCTGATGCTGCTGCTGCTACTGCTGCTGCCGATGCCGCTACTGCTGCTGCTGCTGCCACTGCTAATGAGGCCGCCGCTGCTACTGCTGCTGATGCTGCTGCTACTGCTGCTGCTGTTGATATGGCTGTTGCTGCTGATGCTGCTGCGGCTGCTGCGGCTTCTGAGCCTGCTGTGGACGGCTATAGGGCTGCACATGAGGCCGCGCGGGACACTGCAGCAGCCAATGGGCCGATGACAGGTGGCGGTTTAGCACAGGCTGGGGATGGTCTGAGGGAAGATGGGGCACAAGAATCGGTGCAGCTAGAGCAGGCAGCAGAGGGTGATAGGAGTGACGGGCATGGGCAAGAGAATGCGAGAAGAGGGGACGGTAGTGTGGCAAGTGAGGGAGGAAGAAGAGAAGGCCGCGAGGGTGGAACGGAGGGTGGTGGAGACGGGGCATGTGTCATGGTGCAAGGAGGAGCAACAGGAAGAGGGGAGGCTGAAAGGGTAGGGGCGGAGGGGGTGGAGAAGGGAGGGGAGTTGAGGAGGGAGGGAGGTGAGGGAGAAGCAGAGGGGTTGCAGCGAAGGGAGACGGTGCCAGGTGCAGCTGCTTCGGCTGCTGCAACCGCTGCTGGGGAGGCACCGCCTGTTGCTGCTTTAGCACCTGCCCCACCGACGGCAGCAGCGCCAGCAGCAGCTTCTGCTGCTGCTGCTGCTCCTGCTGCTGCCTCTCCTGCTCCTGCCTCTCCTGCTGCTGCCTCTCCTGCTGCTGCTGCCGCCCCTGCTTCCCCTGCCACTGGAGCAGCAGAGGGGCCCAAGGCACAGAAGAGGGCAGCCGTGAAGACTGTCGTGTGCCGGGGAGTGAAATACCACGTCACTGGCAGGTGAGGGTTCCTTGTTTGAGATTGACGTTTGTGAAGCATGCAGCGTGCCCCTCATGCCCCCTAGCAGCAGGTTCTGCCATGCGACTGGCAGGTGGGGTGGTGCTTCTGCAACGACCCAACCTGCTCTTGGTGTTTGGAAAGGTGACGCAGCGCCCGCTCTCTCATCCTGTGCCCACCTCCTTCTCAACCACCCTCTCATTTTCTCTCCTTCCCTCCCCCACCCCCCTGCCCCTCGACCAGTGCATACATGCTGCTGTCAGTGACCAGAGAGTGCGTGGCGGTGGCAGAGGCGCTACCATCGCAGATGGTGCAGCGACTGGCTTTCCTTCCTTTCCCATCCTCAGACCCATCCTCTCCTTCCCCACCCCTACCCCACCAGTGCATGCATGCTGCTGTCAGTGACCAGAGAGTGCGTGGCGGTGGCAGAGGCGCTACCATTGCAGATGGTGCAGCGACTTGCTTTCCTTCCTTTCCCATCCTCAGACCCATCCTCTCCTTCCCCACCCCTACCCCACCAGTGCATGCACGCTGCTGTCAGTGACCAGGGAGTACGTGGCGGTGGCGGAGGCACTCCCCTCGCTGGCAGGGGAGGTGGTGCAGCGCCTGGCGGACCTGCTGAAGCTCTTCAACTCGCGCACCTGCCAGCTCGTGCTGGGCGCGGGCGCCATGCAGGTGGGGAGGGGCGTGCATGGGCGCCATGCAGGTGGGGAGGGGCGTGCATGGGCGCCATGCAGGTGGGGAGGGGCGTGCATGGGCGCCATGCAGGTGGGGAGGGGCGTGCATGGGTGGCAAGCAGGTGGGGAGGGGCGTGCATGGGTGGCAAGCAGGTGGGGAGGGGCGTGCATGGGTGGCAAGCAGGGTGTAGGCGCTGTGCAGGGAAGGGCGACCTGTGCCGTCATCACACACGGGGTGGACCGTGGAGGCTGTGAGGCACAGCGAGCTGGCTGTAGGCCATACAGGAGGACTAGGCCTGTGAGCCTGGTTGCAGCAAGGGTGCACATGCCGCAAATGCATGAAGGTCTGTAAGCCGCCTGCCAAGTGCCGCTGCCAGAAGATTCTGCACGTGGTTCTTCATTTTATCCGCGCCCCTTCTGCCGCTCTCCTACTCTCCCTCCCGGCAGGTGTCAGGCCTGAAGACCATCACAGCCAAGCACCTCGCACTCTCCAGCCAATGCATCTCCCTCGTCTATGCTCTCATCCCCGGTGAGCTAAACTTCTGTTATAGTCACAACAGATTGACATGCCTATATCACAAGCCTAGCCTGCAGTTGAAAGCATGAACGCATGGCCGAGCGAGCCTTGGTTTATCGGCACCAATCCAATGCGTCTTGCTCGTGTCTGCGCTCCCACTCCCTGCGAGCTGCTGCATGCAGCACTGACCTACCTGCACACTGTGTGGTGTACTCATCCCCGCTGACCCATGCACCCGCGTGTGCATCTCGAATTCGCATTGCCGCCTTGTTGCCCCTCCTTGCACAGTTGCACTTGTCTCGTTCCCCATGCACTCATCATACCCCATCCCCCATCATCCGCCCACCCCATGTCCCACCAGACCTGCGGCGCATTCTGTCTGCCTTCATCCCGGATGCGCGGCGAGGGCTCGTCATAACGCACCTCGACCGCGTGGCTCAGGTACGTGTGCCTGCACATTTGCTCCATGCTCCATTCTCCTTGCTCCATGCTCCATGCTCCATTCTCCTTGCTCCATGCTCCATGCTCCATGCTCCATGCTCCATGCTCCATGCTCCATGCTCCATGCTCCATGCTCCATGCTCCATGCTCCTGCTGCTGTGTTTTCCAACACCCCACCCCACCCACCCCACCCCACGGCACGGCACCACAGGACTACAGGGTGCACAGGGACGAGATCCACAGCAAGCTGGTGGCCATCATGAGGGAACGCCTGCTCGTGCACCTGCGCTCGCTGCCCGCAGTAGCTGACACCTACTGCCGCCCGGACGACTCCCCTGCCGAGCAGCAGCCGTCCAACTTCGCGCGCGCCCTCACCAAGGCATGCGTCACATGGCCCTCATCCCTCTCATGCCTCTCGTTGGTCTCACCGAAGCATGCCTCTCACGCCTCTCATGCTGTAGCTGTTGTGCCTGTTGGTAGTCTGTGCCTGTCAGTGAGTGTCAGGGCGTACAGCCGCTCGTTTGTTCTGCTCCCTTCTTGTCTCAGTCAACCAAACCGCTCTAAGCCACACCTCCCCCACCATCTCCCCTCACCATCTCTTCCCCACCATCACACCTTCACCATCTTACCCCGACCCTGTGACCCGCACTCGCTGCCCCCGGCCATCTCCCCTGGTCACACCAGGAGGTGGGCGTGCTGCATCGCATCCTCTCCCCTCTGCTGCTCGACGCCGACCTTCGCTCCATCTTCTCGTGCGTACCGTATCGTACCGTACTGCACCGTATTGTACTATACCATAGCCATGGTGGCTCCTCATTCCCAGCGGTGCTTCTCGTTCCCTGTTCCCACAGGCACTCCTCATTTCCAAGCACACTCATATTTTGTCTCTTGCTGCGTATCCCCATTCCCACATATGCTGTCATACCCTTGTCCCCACACTCCTCTCACATCCCTGTGCCACAAGTGCTGCCATACCCGCATTCCCCTTCTCATCCTCCGGTCCCTCAACCCATGCCCCATCCCCCTCTCAACCTGCCATCAACCATGCCCCATCTTCCTTTATTCTCCTCTCCTCTCCTTGCCCCGTGTGCCTCTCCTGTGGGTGCGCACACGCACGTGTGGGTGTGGGCGCACAACACACCAGGCGGGTGGTGGCACTGTTCCACGTGCAGCTCGCCGACTCCTTTGCCAAGATCGACACACCCACACCACAGGCCAAACGCAGGTCAGAGGGGAAGAGGGGGAGGGAGGAGGAGGGTGGGGGGGAAGAGGGTCGCTTGTTGCACTCGTGCGTTGTTGAAGCGGCTTTGCCATCGGCTCATGCCTGCTTCGCAGCCCAATGTGGGTGGAAGAGCGTTCTCTACGCATTTCTGCTTCTGTATGCTCTTTCCTGTTAGGCACCCACGTTCTTCCACGTGTTTTTGTAACTCTCCTGGTCTTGGTCGTCTCGGGTAGAATGCAGAGCTACACTTTGCAAAGCTTCTCCATGCTTTTCCCCATGCCTTCATTGAACTGTACAGAATGTACCGAGACGTGGATCTCATTCTACAGTGCATGCGGTCGTTGCCTGGTAACCCGCCAACGTCCTCTTTTGATGGGCGGCAGAGAGAGCTTGACCAGTTTGTGCTCTCTAGGTTCGGAAACAGTGGCCTTCCTCCATGACGAATTGATGTATCTGATTGTTACATGAAGCCTCTCATCAATGTATGAATTTTTTGAAGTTATTTGTAGTGTACCAAGAGAAGAGAGTCTGACGGAAGTTGCGTCAAACATCAAGCAAGTTGTGCATAGCAATGCAGTGCATACAGCCTGTTTGTACCGTAATTCTTTGCTCCATTTGACATCGACCTTGAGCGTCACATTTGTCTCCTCCCCTCCCATGACCATTCCTCAGGTCTATTTTGAGTAGTAGTCAAACTTCAATGTATATATGATTTTGGCAGTATAGTTACTCAGTTAGCCCTATCTGAAGAGTAGTGAAACTGTTTGTGAACGAGTTTTTTTTCAGCCTCAAGCAAAAAGTATTGCAGCGTTGTTCAGCTGATCCTCACTCCTGCCCAACAACCTTGCTCGAGGGAGTACCCACGGAAGACCGTCCGATTTAACTTATCGGACGGAGTGTTCAACCTTTGTCGTGTTGATTTTTCGTGTGTGTTGTGTGGAAGGCGGTCGATCGGAGCATGAGGGCAGCTCCACGTTTGCTGAACCCCTCAAGAGCCCCAAGATGCTGTTGCATCTGACGGTTGAAAATATTGAGTTTTGAATCGGACGGATGATACGTGGCTTCGAGCTTTCCTCCTTGTGGCTCTTGAAACCCTAGCCTCCCACACTCCCGTCCTCCTGCTCGCTCAAACTTTCTTCGCCTCTCCCCCTTCTGTGGTGAACTATTTTTTTCTGGGACCCTGGCTTTCACTTTCTTGTCCTTCCGAGCTTTGTTTCTCTAGTCTTCGTCGAGCGTTTTGAAAGTTTCAGCCGCCACGTTTCGAGCTGGGAAAAAAATAATCACAGCACCCCCTTCCCACATACCAAGGTAGGAATGCATAAAGGCAAATCAAAACTTAGTTTTAGCTTTCTCTTGTACCAAGCCTTTAGAATTTGGCATACCTGTTTAGAGGCTTATTCCACAGCTTGAGCTTGACGACCATGGCTCCTCTTTTCACACGTGTCTTCAGGTCTTCGTTCGAGAACAAGCTATTTCAAGTGTTCCTTCGCGGAGTATCAAACCCATCACCGCCGCTAGATAGCAGTGCAATTTCGCCAAGATGATGCAAATGCCGGGAATGGCGTACGAGGACGAGCGGGCGAAGATGATAGCCTTTCCCGCCATGCCTCCACCGCACATGATAATGTCAGCAGGCAACCCGGTTTCGGTTAGAGCTGTCGACTTAATTCCTCGTGATGGCCTACCGCACGAGACTTATCGCATGGCGTTAGGCACTCTGATGAGCTCGCTAGCTCGATTCAACTACGGTAAGTGCTCAACGTTGTCGCCGCGTATATATCGTAGCTCCTGAACGCAGCAGTTTTACTGACAGAAACGCAACATTTCTACTTTGTTATCCAGCAATCATTCAGATGCCACCTGGGGATGAAGCCCTGGTCCGTTACACGCTAGACTCCTCGCGCGTTTATTTCCAGGTAAGCAATCTCCAAGGATTTTCCGTTTTAACACTCCTGGCACGAGCCCAGCTGACAATTGTCATGTCGGTGCAGTTTAAGCGGCGGCCGTCCCCGGCAATGCAGTCCATTCCGAGCGCGGACGACCCCCAGGAGTGGAACCGAACGGCAGGGTACTACTGCGAGCCGCATGTGGGGAAGGAGGTGTACGAGTTTCGACCAGGCGCAACACCAATCAGCGCAGTTCCGGAGGATTCCATACCTCCGTCATGTCTGCCAGGTTCGTTTCTTGCTCGCCTCATTTCTGCGTCTGAAGAAGCGATGCCTCGGCCCTTGTCTGACTTTCATTTGCTTGTTTGTTTGTTCTTTTGTGTGCGTTTGTGCCGTCTTCCGTCTCCTTTTTCGCTCGGTGTTACAGACGCGTTTGGGAGCATGGGAAAGACGTCGAGGACGGTGTTGGAGGCGATAGGAAGGTCTCTAGACCTGCGGTCGTACACGTTCACAGACCTCCTGGACAACGTTCCCCTCAAGGCCAACGAGATCTCCTCCTCCGTGCTCTCCGTCACTTGCCATGGACGCCGCTTTGCCAAGTAAATATCCAGATCATTTATCAATTGTCCCCTTGCCCCTCTTCCCCGCCCCACCCCCCTCCTCCCCCTCCCCCCCATTCCCCCCACAATGTTTCATCCGTACCCCTTTTTTTGTCGACGTTATTGTCGTCAATGCCCGTGCTTGTGTCACCTCTCTCGATCCATTCTGACACGGCGACCGTTGGATGAGCAGCGAGACGATGATGGACCCGGCAATGGACGACAAGGATCCTCTCCTCATCCCACCCGAGGATGCCGAGGCGCGAGCGGAGAAGGGGTTGGTGACATTGATCAAGTCGGACCGCCCTGGGCTGTACATCCGCGACCCGCAGAACCAATGGCTCCTAGCAGACGCCAACCTCGGCCCCAACGACCTTATACTCATTACCGGCTTGACTCTATATCAGGTACATTATCAACCCACGCTTCCATCAGCGTCACCCTTTCACGTCACGTTCTTGTCGTTTCTGTCCGTAGTAGGTATCGCGTGTGGGTGGCGTGCGTTGTCTTCATCTCGTCCTCCGCCCGGCGACCCCCCCATGGCAGGCCACAGGCGGGTACGTGAGCCCAGCGCTGTACAAGACGGACCTGGCGAGCGCGTCGGTGGGCATGCAGGTGCCGGAGGGGCGCGCGTCCGTGTTCTTCCGCCTGCTGCCGCGCGCCTCCTCCATCATCCACTGCTCCGCCATGGCGGCCTCGGGGCACGCGATCGCGGGGCCGTTCCAGCAGCCGGTGGCGGTGCAGGACTTCATGCTGCGGCAGCACCCCATCGACCAGATCGCCGCTGCCTCGTACAACGGGCTGCTGCGCCCCATGGGCATGGGCGCCGCCATGCCCATGGTCGAACCAGGTGCGTGCACCAAGCATGTCCTCTCCCATCTTTCCCCCATTGCGGCAGTGTGTGTCTTTCTTTACGTGATGCGCACCTGTTTCTCCTCCTGTACCCTGTGTTTTTCTTTATTGTACCCCTTTTCATTGACTTTGCTTACTGGTGTCTTCTGTGTGCCTGGCAGGGTCACCAAACGTGCGGCGGCGCAAGAAGCACCGCATCATGGGCAGCGACGGGCGGTCGCTGGCGCCGTCAAAGCGGCTGCGCATGGAGGCACAGCGCGTGCTCAAGGAGAAGGTGCAGGACCTGGCGGACGCCAAGGGCATCAAGATCCGCTTCTGTAACCTCAAGGTCAGCCTGCCGGGCACTTCGCTCTGCTTCAAGGATGAGAGAATGCATTACCTTGTCGCATTTTCTTACAGGCTGGAATGCTGGTTCATCAGCTGTACTGCGATTGATATCAATCAGGGGGTTTGGTCTGTGCGTTTCATCTCATTCCATCTCCTCATGTCTCTGCCCATCCTCCTCCACCAGGAGTGTGAGGAGCAGCACATGGCGATGGAAGAGCCGCCATGCTCGTACCTGCGGCTGCAGCTGGGGTGGCCGGCCAACGTGCCCTTTGTGCATCCGCACGACCTGCCCAACCGCGCCAAGCAGGCCTTCCTCGAGGCCTACGAGCCCGGCTGGTCCGAGCGCCAACTGTCGGAGCCCATGGGCATTGAAGTCGGCACCACTCCCAAGCGTGTCCAAGGTGAGTCGCCTGTTTGCGACCGTATCTTTAACTAACTTCAGCCGCAAGGCCAGTCGTCACCTGTGTCTCCATGGCTGTCTCCATGGCTGTCTCCATGGCTCTACACACTTCACTCCCTGCATGCATCTGCACTCATATTGAAAGTGGCCTGAGTTTCTTCCCATCAACCACGCTTCCCCTGCCTCCATGTGCCCCCCCTTGCAGCAGACACGTTCATGGACCCCATAGGCCCCGACGCCAAGTTCTCAACGAGGGCGGTGTACGAGTATCTGCGCACCAACAACAAGCCCGTGCCCACCGGCAAGCCCCAGGTCGTGGGCCACAAGGTCGACATCCCGCTGCTCTGCCGCATCGCCTTTGAGGCTGGCGGCAAGGACCAGGTCAGTGCGCCCTGCTTGACCGCGAAAACCGTTTGTTTGACAGATAGTTCAGACACTTTGCCTTCCTTGCGTGTGCGCAGTGAGTGTTTTGGTCACTGATGCATTTTGCCATCCCTATCCGCTTGGTGCAGTTTGAGCAGATCAACGGCTTCCAGCGCTTCATAGCGGAGACGTTTCATCTGGACGGTGCAACGGAGAAGGAGAAGGAGCGGGCACTGGAGCGGCTGCGCAAGCTGTATGAGCAGGTGCTGGCAGACTATGTTGAGACGCTTGTTGCTAACCATGCCATGGGCATGGGTGGTGGGGGTGGCGGGCAGCACATGGGTGGGGGTGAGCAGCAGCAGCAGCAGCAGCAGCAACAACAGCAACAGCAGCAGCAACAACAGCAGCAACAGCAGCAGCAAGTGCAAGTGCCGCAAGAAGGGAACATGCAGCAGCAGCAAGAGCAACAACAGCAACTCATGGCGATGTGATTTGGTGACAAATATTTTTCCCACGTATAATGGTGCTCGTTTATAGGGCTTGTGTATAGTATGGTGCAGAGCTGACTCGCAGGGCGGTTGTGAGATGGCTTGTAAGGGGTTCACTTGTAAGGGGTGCACTAGTGCCTGGTGTGATGTGGCTCTACCCCACAGGCTTAAGAACTTTGGTTTGGCTGATAGTACGTATACTGGGATGCAATTAGGTAGTGTTCCAGCTGAGTGCAATGAAATCCAATCCTGGATGCATATTTGTTTTGTTGAAGGTGGGAAGTGCTGCCTCCTAACACAATACAAGGGGAGTTCTAGTGCCTGTTCTGCAGATGTGCTAAGGGCTGACATAACCTGCACCTCAAGACACATCTGGTACCGTACTAGTTCATACTGTCTAAATGCGAGACAGGCAACAGCAGCCCCACTGCAAGCCCCTAAGCTCGCAGGCACTCAGCCTCCAGAGTGGGAAATGGGCGTGGTGACAAAGGTGCCGTTCTTGAGCTCGCTCACAAACTGCTCCGGTAGCGCATGCTCCACCTGGCAGGGGGGTGACGAGGGGCGCGGAGAGGGGTGGAGCGGGGCGGAGAGGGGAGAGGAGAGGGGAGGCGAGGTGAGGAGAATGGCTAGCAGCACAGCATGGTGCATGTGGTTGGTGAGAGGGGCATGCTCATATGGTGTCCGTGGTATGCTCTTCAGATCACTCCCCACTGCTCCGGTGGAGCATGCTGCACCTGCCACGAGGGTGGAGAGGGGAGACGGGAGACAAGAAGGGAGGGGATATGGGCAGGGAGACGGGAGGGGAGACGGGAGGGGAGACGGGAGGGGAGACGGGAGGGGAGACGGGAGGGGAGACGGGAGGGAGAAGGGAGGGGAGACGGGAGGGGAGAAGGGAGGGGAGACGGGAGGGGAGACGGGAGGGGAGACGGGAGGGGAGACGGGAGGGGAGACGGGAGGGGAGACGGGAGGGGAGACGGGAGGGGAGACGGGAGGGGAGACGGGAGGGGAGACGGGAGGGGAGACGGGAGGGGAGACGGGAGGGGAGACGGGAGGGGAGATGGGAGGGAGAAGGGAGGGGAGACGGGAGGGGAGAAGGGAGGGGAGACGGGAGGGGAGACGGGAGGGGAGACGGGAGGGGAGACGGGAGGGGAGACGGGAGGGAGGGGAGACGCGAGGGGAAGTGAGAGGGGAGACGCGAGGGGAGGTGGGAGGGGAGATGCGAGGGGATATGGGAGGGGAGAAGGCAGGGCAGGGAAGGCAGCACAGGCAGCCTAGAGCACTTTGCTTGCAGCCTAGAGCACTTTGCTTGCAGCCTAGAGCACTTTGCTTGCAGCCTAGAGCACTTTGCTTGCAGCTTAGAGCACTTTGCTTGCAGCCTAGAGCACTTTGCTTGCAGCCTAGAGCACTTTGCTTGCAGCCTAGAGCACTTTGCTTGCAGCCTAGCAGACCCTCTTCCATCCCTCTCCACACCTTCTCCCCATTTCTCTCACCACCCTCTACCCCTTTCCCCTCCCTCCCATCCTACCCAGGGCGTGTGGGCATCGGGCCCCGGGAAGAGCACGTTGATCTCGGATGCCTTGGCCATGTGATGGCCGCTGCCACCACTCTCCCCATCCCTCCCACCTCCCCCCATTGCTTTCCCCACTCTCCCCATCCCTCCCACCTCCCCCCATTGCTTTCCCCACTCTCCCCATCCCTCCCACCTCCCCTCATTGCTTTCCCCACTCTCCCCATCCCTCCCACCTCCCCTCATTGCTTTCCCCACTCCCCTCTCATTTCCTTCACCATCCTTGCCCAGTTCCCCCACCAGCCTTATCCATTTCACTCACGAACCTCAACACCCATACCCATCCCCCCTTCCCTACCCAGGGTGTGTCAGCATCGGGACCGGGCACGAGCACGTTGATCTCCGATGACTTGGCCGTGGTGATCGACGCTGTCAGCGCTGACGCAGCGAGGTACAGCTGGCAGCCACTCGTGTTGTCGACTGCGAGCGTGGGCGCCATGCCCTGGCACTGGATCTCCACACCGCTGCAGTTCACCACCTCACATGCTGCCAGCACGTCCTGATGGCAGGGCAGAGGGGAAGGAGCGGGCATGGAGGGAGGGAGGCTTCAACTAGCAGCGACGGTACAACAAGGGGGAGCAGCAATGAGCAAGCGATTGCAGCAAATCACAACACATGCATCCCAGATTGCTGGATAACTGCATCAACATTCATGTAATAATCACCTGAGCTGAGCCTACCCGAGCCCACCTGAGCCGACGTGGGTCTCACCTGGAAGACGACAGCGGTCTTGGTGCACTTGTCCAGCGTGATGTTGTTCACCTTGCCTGGAGGGGGGCGCAAGGGTGGCATGAGGAAGAACGGCCACAGGCAATGGGATGGAGTGCAGTGGCCGACGGTTCCAATGGGAGGTAAATGCCAGGACGTATGGGCCCATGGCACATGGTTGGAGATGGGTGGAGATGGGTGGACATGGGTAGACATGCGAGCACACTTGGGGGGATAAGAGGAGCTTAAAAGGAGCCGCAGCACAGAACGTTTCTCACCTTTGACCTGCACGCCTCTCACCTTTGACCTGCACGCCTCTCACCTTTGACCTGCACGACGGTGCCCTTGCAGCCAAAGATGTAGACGGTCTGCTTGGGCTCCGTGTCCGCTATCACCACGTCCTTGTTGTCCACCTGGTTCTCCACCACCCACCTGCCACATTCACGCAAACATGCAGAGCAAAATGCATTGGGTGAAGGCAGGCAGAGAAAGATGCAGATAGTTAGCAGCAGTATCGGCCATCGTGCAATTGACTGCTATCACCACGTCCTTGTTGCCCTCCTGGTTCTCCACCACCCACCTGCCCCATGCTCACACATAACACCGCACACGCACAACGAGAAACATGCGATGGTTCAAAGTAGGTGGAGAGCAGGCCAGCTTGGGAAACCACACAAGTATCTCCCATCATGCAATTGCATGTCATCACCCCCTCCTTGTTCTCCGCCTGACTCTCCATCACCCATCTGCCATGCCCACGCGCACACAGCAACGCACAGGAACGCACAAACAAACACACAGCACGCATGCACATGCACAGCAACACGCATTGTGTGAAAGGGGTAAGAGGGCTTCATGCAATGGAGAAAGGCAGGCAGAGAGGTGGGTAGCACAGCCAACCACACAGGTATCGCCCATCGTGCAAACGGTTTGAACGGCTTAGAAGCAGCCCTCACGAGTGCATGCTTGCTCACTGGCGCCCTCCCATGCCAGAGCTCACTTGCGGCCTTGCTGCAGCTCCAACTTGGGTGGCTTCACCACAACTGGCATGCAGAGCAACGCGCATTGCCCATGCTCACTTGCGCCCCCCATGCTCACTTGCCCCCCATCCCCATGCTCACTTGCGGCCTTGCTGCAGTTCGAACTTGGGAGGCTTCACCACAGCTGGCTTGGCGGCGGCAGAGGCGCCTGCTGACGTGGCCTTGCTGCCGCCTATGGTGGCGGGCACGGCTCCTGAGCGGTCGGCACGGTTCTTTGTCTTCATGTCTGCTGTCACCTTGCGCAGCCCTGCGTTGGTAATGAGGGCGGAGATTGGTTGACGAGGAAAAAAGGCGAAAGGGGTGGAAATGGGTGATGTGCGGTTCTTGGTCTTCATGTCTGCTGTCGGCTTGGGCAGACTCACACGGGACGGGTGATGGTGAGAGAAAGGAGGCAGACGCGTCACCGGAGCAGGCAGAGTGGGTACTTGTCGTCACCTCGCCTGTCACCTGCCACAACTCTGCTCCACTTTCCCCTCCATCTGTCCGCGCGTTCGCCCGATTTTCTGTCCAATCGTTAGAAAAAAAACCCTTCCATATGTCCATTTTTCCATGTGTTGCTGCATAACCAGCCAGCACACACGGCTCTCCCCATCCTGCCATCCCTCACCTGCCATCACAGCTTCCCACCTGCCTCTGCTCCCACCTCTCACCTGATGTGACGGCCTCGCCCTTGTTGAGCTCCGAAAACACCTTGGACATGTCCGCGCCCCCGCCCCCTCCGCCCCCTCCGCCCGCTGACGCAGCCGGGGGCGGGGGCGGGGGAGGGGCCCCGCGCGGAGGCGGCGGGGGACCTCCGCGAGGGGGAGCAGGGGCGGCGGAAGGGGCGGAGGAGAGGTAGGCGGGGAGGTCGAGGCCTGAGGCGGACCAGGAGGGGCCGGTGAGGTGGAACTTCTTAACGTACTCCCGTAATCCCTGGATGTACAGCTCCTTTAGTGCCCTCGCCCACTCCACGTGCGCTGCTCCCCCCTCCGCGTTGCGATACGTGGAGAGGATCTGGCGGACGGGGGGAAGGGACGGGGAGGGGAGCAAAGGGGGGAGGGGGAGGGAGAAAATGAGGGGAAAGAATACGATAATGAAGAGGGACGAAGGTCGGGAGAAGCGTTGAGACGTGTTTGGGAGAGGAGTTGGAGAAACGATAGTGAAAAGGCGGAGTGGAAGAGGGAAGAGTGGGTGGAGGGAAACGGGGGTGGGGAAGTGTGGGATGCAGACGGTGGGAGGGGAGACGAGGAGGGGTTGGGAATGGAAAGGGAGGAACGAAGGGAGAGCAAAGTAAACGGAGACGGGAGGAAGAAAGGGGGTGTAGCAGCAAGACGTGGCAGCACCTTATTGGTGTAGAACTCGGCAGCAGGCCAGGTCTCGTCAATGTGTGGCCCGGGGAGACTCATCCCTGGTGGAAGGAAAATGGCGGGAGGCGGGAGAGGGATGGCGTAAAGCGGGAGGGGGACGGGGGATGGGAGATGGCAGAAGGATGGAAGGCGGGAAGGCGGGAAGGAGGGGTCGGTGAGGATGGGTAGTAAAGGACGCAAGTCGGCGGGAAGCGGGAACAAGTTGGTTGGGCGGGCAACGAGGAACAGCATGAGGGCGGGCAGTGTGCGCGCAGGAATCCATGAGAGCCCATGAGAGCCCATGAGGGCCCATGTCCTGTGACTCTAAACTGGCGAGAATCGGCGCACAACGAATGGCGAGTCACCATGACAAGTGGCGAGCGTAAGCAGAGTGCGCCGACTTCCCTTCCCCCTTCCCCCCTACCACACTCCTTCCCCATACCACACATCCCCGCAGTCCTTGCCTCCCCCATACTGCATTCCCCGCACTTTCCTCCACCCTCCCTCCCTCTGTCCCCGTACCACAGTCCTTGCTCCTCCCCATACCGCATTGCCCCCTCCCCACTCTCTCCCCCCTTCCTCTCCCCCCCCCCCCGTACCGCAGTCCTTGCCGGAGTAAGCGACCCACGTGAGCGCGGCGACGCTCTCGGCGACGGCCTTCACGTGGTTGTACGCGTCCGTGCGCTTCCCCTCCGTCAGCTTGCTCGCCGCCGCCATCGCCGCTCCCAGCGGCTCCAGCAGCTTCGGCAGCGCTGACGTGTCGGGCTTCTGGATGGCGCGCGAGGCAGCATGGGGGAGGTAGGGGGTGAGAAGGAGAAAGGATGGGGGAGGTGGGGTGGGGGAGGGGGAGCCGTGATGGGGGGAAAATAGAGGGTAAAAAATGCTGACCGGAAGTGGAGGAAACGGAATGCGGGATGATCAGTGTTTCTTTGTTTTTTATTGTTGTTGTTGTTGTTGTTTTTTTTTTTTGGAAGGGAATTCTGGGGGAGACTGGTGATGAGAGTGAATCGCGGAAAGCACTGCTTTCCGTTCTGGGCACGCGACGGAGGGTTAGCTTGTTCCTTCGAGTGTCAGATTCCTATCGTCCTCCGAATCCGGTCCAGATCCATGGAGATCATGCACGAATGCGGACGCGCGCCGCGCGAAACAGACACAGGCACCGAACGACGGAACAAGCAAAGCAAAGCCCACCTTGCAGGCCGCGATGGCCGCGACGATCTTCTTCTCCGCCTCGAACGCTTCCGCCAGCGCCTTGGTCGCCGCCGTGACTTCCGCGCTGCCGACCTTCTCGGCGGCCGCCATCACCTTCTGCAGATTCGCCGTCAGGATCGCGTCGAACGCAACCACTGACGGGTGATCGCTGGCCGCTGCAGACGCGGACGCGGCGGGAGCTGACGTGGCGGTGGAGGTTTGGGAGGGTAGCGAGGCCTCGAGGCGCGCGACAGCCGCTTCGAGGCGCGCGACGAGGACGTCCATCGACGTCGCCATTCACTGTTGGGGCGAAAACGCGGATGCGCGCAATGCGGATAAGAGATGAGCGTAGGTAGGCAGACTGGTGTGGAAGTGTAGTTTCTGAGAGGTCAAGAGAAATGGACGGAAAGTTGTGGGCAGTTGTTGATGTGGAGATTCAGAAAAATGTGGGAAATGGAATGGAGCTCTCTAGGTGGTTCTGACGCGGGCTGGGAGGAGAGATTCAGCGGCGGATTCGGGAATGAGCAAGAAGCACTGCGCAAGCAAATCTGGTTCGGAGTAAGCCATACCTTTGGTGCTTCAGATTCGGTATGGGTCAGGTAGGGAGCCCTAGTCTGGGAAACGCGGGAGGCTCGGAAAATAAATTTATCGGTGGCAGGGAAAACGTTTCGCACAACGCGGCGGGCGGGAAACAACTGATGAGGGTGCTGTGGACGCTGGGGACGCTGGAGGTATTCATAGCCGCGGAAGCGTACTGGCTTGGTATGGGAGCTGGTTTCGGAACTGGTTCGGCGGTTGCGCAGAATGCGGGGGCGTGCCGCGAAGTTGCTTTGCATTCGCGACAGCTTCAGCTGGAAACCAAAGCTCGACGAATAGCTGGCGAATCTGCTAGCAAGTAGATTTATTTCCTTTCCGTAATGTGTCACGTTTGTGCTCGGTCTGTAACGTTTCAAACCGATAGTGTGCGAACGGTGAGGAGGAACCCAAATGAACAGCATGGAGTAACGATTTGATGGTCTAGTTCCCTCATTATTTCCTTTTCTCGAGAATCTTACGTCTTTCTGACGATTTCCGTTGCACGGTTCTTTGTCTCCAAAATGGACGATCCCGAGGTGTTGCTGCCGTCGATCGAGCGGCGGACAAAGCAGCTGCGGCAGCAGGAGCAGATGCTGCGGGAAGCCGTGACGGCCGCGTCGCGCAGGAAGGAGACGAGCGCGGCGGCGCTCAGGACCGCCGAGGACGCGCACCAGCATCTGCTGCGCGATCGATTCCCCGCGCTTAACGCGCAGGTGTGATGCGCGCGCCTGTTGAGATGTCAACGCTTGTTAGATTCGCTCAAACCGCGACAGGTGACAGTCCGCGTGAGTCGAGCAGCACCGTTGCGCCGATGAGAATCCGCGTGAGCTCGTGCTCGCGCGTGTCTCGTTGCAACTGGCGTCTTGCCTAGTCCTCACCCCTCGCAGCAGTGTTCCTTATTCTCCTCCGCCGGCAGGTGAATGCGCAGCTGGACGCCATGGCCGCCCATGCCGCCGCCATCGCCGCCTTCCTCTCCCCCGCGCGTGAGTCGCCCGTCCTCTCCCCCGCGCGTGTAGATCACGTCCTCTAGGACAGCCCGAATCCCGTAACCATCCAGTAATCCCCGCTCTTGATCCACTTCCCTGGGCTAGTGTCTGTTCCTTGTGCTTTGGGAGTGCAGCGCTGTTGCTACCCTCTCCGTGCACCCCTTCAATAGGCCCGGGGTCGCTAGCAATGGTGGCGGGGGTGGAGCCGCTGCTGGAGACGCAGGAGGAGGTGGCGCTGCAGCATGAGGTGTGGAAGCGACGCCAGTTCGACGAGGTGCGTGGTGGGCGCTGGACACAGGGAGGTGTGTGGATGCGATGCGAGAGGTGGGGGGCGAGAGGGGAGAATGAACGGCCTCTTTAGGCGCAGGAGGAGCCGTGCCGCAGCACCAAGTGTGGAAGCGACGGCAGTATGATGAGGTGCGTGGTGGGCATAGCGAGGGGAAATGGGTGGTATGCGAGCCGGGAAATGAGGTGAGGTGAGCCTAGGGGGATGGATGAGTGAGGGGAGGCAGCACGGCATGCTTCGAGCATGGACCCTCACTCAGCTATTCCCTCTTTCACTCCTGTGCCGAGTCCACTCAATTCGAAACCATTTGCCTCGTATGCGTCATCCTTCCCTGTACCCCTCATGGCGTGGGAGTGGCTATACAGGGGCCGTCCCGGGCGGTGGCGTTGGAGGGGTTGGGGCAGTACTCGCCATGTGACCTCAATGACCTGGATTCTGCCGTCATCGGGGGGGACGATGGACCTTCCAACGACACGCCAGGTGAGCCTCTGCTGCTGCTGGCCCTGCCTTCCCGAGGGAGAGAGCTCCGCCTGGTGCTCATCCTCAGCCCCTGCTGCTGCTGCTTGCCTGAGGTGCCTTCATGCGCATGCACAGTGCCTCTCGGATTCCTGGCTCTGGCGTGTCACACTCTCAGCTCGCTCATTTGTCTAAGGGTTTCTCTCGTTTGTTCCTGCACTAGGCCTCGCTCCCTCCCACCACCACCCACCATTCCCCCTTTTCTCCCGTCTTGCGCCTCCCACTGCCCCTCCCACAGACGCCATCTATCGGCGCAACATCAGGGAGCTCAAACACGTGCATGACCTGTGCGTGCCAGCATGCCATGTGATGTGATGTGTGACGTGACCTGATGTGATGTGATGTGATGTGATGTGATGTGATGTGATGTGATGTAATGTCATGTCATGTCATGTCATGTCATGTCATGTGATGTGATGTCATGTATGTCACGTATGTCATGTATGTCACGTATGTCATGTATGTCATGTCATGATGTTCGAAGAACTTCAAGGCATGATACGTCTTTTTTCTCTCTCCCCCCTACCCCCTCCTCGCCTTTACACTCTTGCTTGTCCCCTTGCTCCCCGTCTCTTTCACCCCCGTGCTCATCCACCTGCCTTCACCCCGGCCCGTCATGCCCAACAGGGCGGGGGAGGCGGAGCAGCGCTATGTGGCAGCAATGGTGGACGAGGCCCGCTGGACCGCCAGGGGAAGGGCGCTGGGCAGGTGAGTCGACGGGGGCAGGCGGTAGAGGGGGAGACATTGGGGAGGTGGGTTAAGAGTCAAGAAAGGGAAGGCAGTTGTCAGGGAGGTGAGGAACAGCAGCGTGGGGCGTGGGGCGAGTGGGATAGACGGCGTGGGGAAGAGCGAGTGTGGGCAGAGAGCAGTGGTGCACGGGTGAGAGCAGTGGTGCACGGGTGAGAGTAGTGGTGCACGGGTGAGAGCAGTGGTGCACGGGTGAGAGCAGTGGTGCACGGGTGAGAGCAGTGGTGCACGGGTGAGAGCAGTGGTGCACGGGTGAGAGCAGTGGTGCACGGGTGAGAGCAGTGGTGCACGGGTGAGAGCAGTGGTGCACGGGTGAGAGCAGTGGTGCACGGGTGAGAGCAGTGGTGCACGGGTGAGAGCAGTGGTGCACGGGTGAGAGCAGTGGTGCACGGGTGAGAGCAGTGGTGCACGGGTGAGAGCAGTGGTGCACGGGTGAGAGCAGTGGTGCACGGGTGAGAGCAGTGGTGCACGGGTGAGAGCAGTGGTGCACGGGTGAGAGCAGTGGTGCACGGGTGAGAGCAGTGGTGCACGGGTGAGAGCAGTGGTGCACGGGTGAGAGCAGTGGTGCACGGGTGAGAGCAGTGGTGCACGGGTGAGAGCAGTGGTGCACGGGTGAGAGCAGTGGTGCACGGGTGAGAGCAGTGGTGCACGGGTGAGAGCAGTGGTGCACGGGTGAGAGCAGTGGTGCACGGGTGAGAGCAGTGGTGCACGGGTGAGAGCAGTGGTGCACGGGTGAGAGCAGTGGTGCACGGGTGAGAGCAGTGGTGCACGGGTGAGAGCAGTGGTGCACGGGTGAGAGCAGTGGTGCACGGGTGAGAGCAGTGGTGCACGGGTGAGAGCAGTGGTGCACGGGTGAGAGCAGTGGTGCACGGGTGAGAGCAGTGGTGCACGGGTGAGAGCAGTGGTGCACGGGTGAGAGCAGTGGTGCACGGGTGAGAGCAGTGGTGCACGGGTGAGAGCAGTGGTGCACGGGTGAGAGCAGTGGTGCACGGGTGAGAGCAGTGGTGCACGGGTGAGAGCAGTGGTGCACGGGTGAGAGCAGTGGTGCACGGGTGAGAGCAGTGGTGCACGGGTGAGAGCAGTGGTGCACGGGTGAGAGCAGTGGTGCACGGGTGAGAGCAGTGGTGCACGGGTGAGAGCAGTGGTGCACGGGTGAGAGCAGTGGTGCACGGGTGAGAGCAGTGGTGCACGGGTGAGAGCAGTGGTGCACGGGTGAGAGCAGTGGTGCACGGGTGAGAGCAGTGGTGCACGGGTGAGAGCAGTGGTGCACGGGTGAGAGCAGTGGTGCACGGGTGAGAGCAGTGGTGCACGGGTGAGAGCAGTGGTGCACGGGTGAGAGCAGTGGTGCACGGGTGAGAGCAGTGGTGCACGGGTGAGAGCAGTGGTGCACGGGTGAGAGCAGTGGTGCACGGGTGAGAGCAGTGGTGCACGGGTGAGAGCAGTGGTGCACGGGTGAGAGCAGTGGTGCACGGGTGAGAGCAGTGGTGCACGGGTGAGAGCAGTGGTGCACGGGTGAGAGCAGTGGTGCACGGGTGAGAGCAGTGGTGCACGGGTGAGAGCAGTGGTGCACGGGTGAGAGCAGTGGTGCACGGGTGAGAGCAGTGGTGCACGGGTGAGAGCAGTGGTGCACGGGTGAGAGCAGTGGTGCACGGGTGAGAGCAGTGGTGCACGGGTGAGAGCAGTGGTGCACGGGTGAGAGCAGTGGTGCACGGGTGAGAGCAGTGGTGCACGGGTGAGTGCAGTGGTGCACGACCCGGGGAGAGCGCTGGGGGATGTATGCAAGGGCGAAGGTGGGTGTTGGGGAGGTGAGGGAAGTTCAAGAGTGGGATCTGGCGTGGTGTGAAAGTGTGTGTGCATGTGTGTATGTTCGCGTGTATGTATGTTTACATGTGTATGTGCATGCACATTGCGCACTCCATCCTCTCATCCTACCTCTTCCTCTCAAACCCCCGCCCCCCTCCTCCCCCCTTCGTCCTCTCACCCCACTCCCTCCTCTCATCCTCCCCCCCGTGCCTCTCTACCCCACCTGCTTCGCCCACCATTGGCAGCAGCAGCAGTGGTGGCAGCAGCAGGGGGGCAGCAAGGGGCGCGGGGCAGAAAGGGGTGGGGCAGGGGGGTGGCGGGCAAGGGGGGGCGGAGGAGAGGAGGCGGAGGAGGCGGCTGGAGGAGGTGCGGGCGGAGGTGGCACGTGCTAGAGGCGTGGTGAGATGTGGGGAGAGAGGGGAGGCGGGAGGGGGAAGGGAATGGGTAGGGAGAGGAGATACGGATGGGAGGAGAGGGTGGGAGAGACAGGTAGGGAGAGGATGTGGGATGACAGGGGATGGGAGGGCGAGGATGGAAAGTGGTGCTCATGCCTGCTGCTTGCTGTCCCTCATTATTTTACGTGCCCGTGGATTGGCATGGCATGGGATGGCATGGCATGGCATGGCATGGGATGCCAATGGCATTGCATGGCATGGCGTGGCATGGCATGGCATGGGGTGGCGTGGCATGGGATGGCATGGCATGGCATGGCATGGCATGGCATGGGGCATGCATGCAGGTGAGCAAGCTGTGCAAGGAGAAGGCACGCCTGCAGGATGCCATGGTGTATGCCGGTATGCTTCATGGCATCGCATGCCACCCCTCACTACCCCTGCACACCCCTCTGCCCATCAGCGCCTCCTGCCACTGTCCTCTGCCCCTCTGTCTGTCGCTCATTTCCGTCGTGCAATTGCTTTCTGCTTCCCCCCATCACCCTGCCTCTCGCTGTGCAAGGGTAATAACCAGGTATCAGAAGTATCGAGATGCACTCATGGTTGCTCGCTGCTCGCTGCGACCAACGCAAGTGGCATCTTTCCCCCCTCCTCCGCAGCTGCCCTGTGTCCAATGCCCATCCTGCGGCCAACACTCCCCCTCAACTGCCCCACTCCCTTCCAATCCTGCGCCCCTTACTCCTCCCCGCCCCGTCACCCATGCATCCCCCCATTGCGCCGCGCACCCACCAGGGGACTACGACCTCAAGATGCAGAGGCAGCGCTTCTACCTCGCCAAGATGCACCAGGTGTGCTCGTCTTGCGGTGCAACGCGGTGCAAAAGGGTGTGAGGATGTGTGCAGGGATGTATGTGAGGGTGAGGGGGTGTAATGGAATGTGAGGGATTGTGGGAGGGTGTGCGGGGGTTGAGGGGATGTGCGGGGGTTGAGGGGATGTGAGGGTGTGTGAGGGATGTGAAAGGAGGGCACCTGGGCGGGTGGAGCAGAGCTGACTGGGGAAGACCGCGTGTCACTGACGTGGAAGTCACAGGGGTTAGTTCCCTCAAAGGATCCTGGAATATTTCTTTTCAGTAGCACCAAGAATAGAATGTTTTTCTATCCTCTTCAAAAAAGAACGTTGTCTTGCATGTCTTCCTTCTATCACTGCACGCTCGTCCTCCCCTTCCTTGTCCAATCTCTCTGCATCCACGTGGCTTGCAGCTGCTGACTCAGCAGTACTGGCAGCTGGCTGTTAACGTGGCACTGCATGGAGCCGTCCTATTGGACGCGCACCACCTGGAGCGCACCCGGAAGCTGCTGCTCCAATTGCATCGTGACACGTCAGCAGCCATCAGCGACTCTGAAGCCCGCAAGGCGAGTGTTTCTGTGAGGGGCGTGTGAGTGTGAAGCAGGGAGGAGGGGGAGTGGCATGATACGTGTATGGCAAAGTGTGTGAGAAGTGTGGGACTGAGACACCAGAGTACATTCTCACTCCCTCTGTTTCCTGGCACACCACCCCCTAGTCGTCACCTCCTTCACTCCCACCCCCCCCTCCCCCCTCCCCTCCCCTCCCTCCCCCCATGCCCCTGCAGGCAGCCTACAGGACACTTGCAGCACAGGCCACCGCCCCCACCGCCCCAACATCCTTCTCCTCCTCCCACCTCCCGCCCCCCTCCGCCTCCCTCCCCCTTCCCGCCTCCCTCCCCCTCCCCGCCTCCCTTCCCCTCTGGCCCGCCCTGCTCTCCGCCCTCTCCCCCCACGCTGCTCAAGGGGAGCCACTCGGGGCAGCAGGGGGGGGAGGCGCGCAGGCAGGGGGGGGGAGGGAGGGGGAGAGTGTGGGGGAGGTGGTGGGGCGGCTGGTGGAGGGGCTGAGGGGGAGGGCGCAGGGGGAGGGGGAGCGGGTGCAGCAGGGGGTGGAGCAGAGCGAGCGGCTGCTGGCGCACATGTGAGTGGGCTGGCACACATGTGAGTGGGCTGGCACACATGTGAGTGGGCTGGCACACATGTGAGTGGCGCTGGCACACATGTGAGTGGGCTGGCACACATGTGAGTGGCGCTGGCACACATGTGAGTGGGCTGGCACACATGTGAGTGGGCTGGCACACATGTGAGTGGGCTGGCACACATGTGAGTGGCGCTGGCACACATGTGAGTGGCGCTGGCAGACATGTGAGTGGCGCTGGCACACATGTGAGTGGGCTGGCACACATGTGAGTGGGCTGGCACACATGTGAGTGGCGCTGGCACACATGTGAGTGGCGCTGGCACACATGTGAGTGGCGCTGGCACACATGTGAGTGGGCTGGCAGGGGGGGTGTGTGAGGGACAGGGGTGTGTGAGGGACAGGGGTGTGTGAGGGGCAGGGGTGTGTGAGGGGCAGGGGTGTGTGAGGGGCAGGGTGTGTGAGGGGCAGGGTGTGTGAGGGGCAGGGGTGTGTGAGGGACAGGGGTGTGTGAGGGGCAGGGGTGTGTGAGGGACAGGGGTGTGTGAGGGACAGGGGTGTGTGAGGGGCAGGGGTGTGTGAGGGGTTACAGTGGTGGGAGGTGGTACCCCTTCGATTTCCATCTCAATCGTTGCACCGTCGGTTCGTCTCATCTCTCGTTCTGCACCCCGCCTCTGCCCGTCTGTCTGTTCTCTACCGCCTCTCCCCTCCTGCCTCGGCCCCACTGTCTTCCCCTCCGCCGGTCACACAGGGCGGGCATGCAGGCGGCCATGCTGGAGCTGCTCTCATCGCCGCACGCCACTCCCTCCTCCACCGCCGCTCATGCCATGCCTCTGCACCTCTCGCCCCCTGTAAGTCTCTGCACCCCTCTGTAAGCCTCTGCAGCACTGTGTGAGCCTCTGCACCCCCCTGTGGGCCTCTTTCCCCCTCAAACCCCCAACTATTCTTTCAAGTGGAGCCCTCCTCGCTGCTCCCTTGCCCCTCGCTTGCCCTTGTGTTTCACAGCGAGGGCAGGTGGAAAGCCCACTGTGTGCGCTTGCATCCTCCTCTGCTGCTCCTTGCTGCTCGCCTTAGTACCAGCATATCCACCATCACCCCAATCATCCCATCCCTCTTCTGCCCTCACCTCCGCCCATTCCCAAGGCTCTCGCGGACGAGCGGTTGCGAGTGGAGCGCCAGCTCAGCGATGACGTGGCACCGGCGATTGACAGGCTGGCAGACGAGTGGCAGACAACCCAGAGGGTGAGCTGAGCTGTCACATCATGTGCTGGGCCATGCCATGACCATGCTGGGCCATGCTGTGCATGGCCATCCTTTACTGGACCATGCTGAGTGCTTCTTGCTCTCTTCCGTCCTCCCATCCTCTCTCCCCTCCCCTCTTCCCTCCCGTGCCCCTCCCCTCACCCACATGCCATGCCTCAACATACAACATTTTCCACAAGCAATTACTGCACCCTCTTCTCATTCCCCTTACCCCCACTCCCCACCGTCCCTCCCTGCACCCCTTCGAAAGCGCCATGCACTCCCAAGCCATGCACCGTGCAGCTGCAAGTCCCGCCTCACTTCCCCCCCGTCCCCCCCTTGCCCCTCCCTGCACCGCCCGCAGAGCGCGGTGCACGCGCCAAGGCACGCCATCCGGCAGCGCGTGCTGCACTCCTTCTTCTCCCCGGGCGCCCTGCCCCACGCGCTGCTGCTGGCACACCCCGCTCAGGGCGCAGGGGGCGAGGGGGTGCGGACCGAGGGGGCAGGGCGGGAGGTTCGAGAGACTCAAGGCAGGACGGATGGGCAGGAGATGGAGAGCAGGGGCGGTGGTGGCGAGGGCATGGGCATGGACGATGACAGGGGAGAGGGCATGGGCATGGAGGGTGGGATGCATGTGGGCATCGGGATGGGCTTGGAGGAGGACGATGACAGTATCATCTTCTAACTGCCATACCATGCCATACCATGCCATGTGCGCACCAAAGGCAGCGGGTGGGCTGGGCACCTAACCATCCCCCATCATCTTGTATCTTCCATGTTGCAGTGATGAAGGCGTATCCCTGTTCTCGCTAGTCATCCTTGCTTTATCAAAATTAGGGTTCAGGCGAAAGTGACGGAAAATAGTTTAGCCAACACAAGATCACAGGAAAACAAATTGGGCAATATGGGCTAAACAAAGCAATACATAAGTATAGCAAATCAATCTGTATGCAGCACAGGGACACCATGGCCAAGGTGTCGAAACTGTGAGCTCAAGCAACGAGCTCTCAAGCGTCAGGGCGTGGTGGTCACTGTGGGTGCTCCACACCACACACTCCTGCACCTGCTGCTGCTGGGGCAGTGCTGGTGGGATGCTGGCAGCGCCTGCTGCCGGTCCCAGGATCACTGCTGGTGCATCTGTGGTGCCTCAGCCTGCTGCCGCAGCTCCCGATGCAACTGCTGCTGCTACTGCTCCTGCTGCTGCTGCTGCTCTCCAACACGTTGGCGGTGAGAGCGACGATAGGCCCTGTCCCAATGGCCGTGATCACTCTGCTTGCGTGTATCGTTGCTGCTGCCGCTGCTGCCAGCCTGCCTTTCTTGCTGCTGCTGCTGCTGGATCCTCTGCTCCCTCAGCTCTCTCCCTGCTCCTTATCCTCCTCCTGCTGCTGCTGTCGCTGCTCCTGCTGGCGGCGGCGGGTACTGGCGAACTCAACAGCCCTGACAAGGTCGTGGACATGGATGGGTTTGGCAATGAAGCCCTCCATGCCCGCCGCCAGGCACCGCACGCGGTCCGTCTCCAACACGTTGGCGGTGAGGGCGAAGATGGGCGGGCGCGGGCAGGCAGGGCGCCACACGGGCCACTGAGAGACGATGCGCCGCGTGGCTTCGATTCCATCCAGCACTGGCATCTGGAAAGGGGGGAAAGAGGGAAGGGGAAGATGTGACGTTTGGGGTGCGTAATATTGGCTTCCATGCCGGCGGCATCCGGAAGGAGTGAGTGAGTGGGGAAGAGGGGGGTCCTGCACCTTGCAGGGCACACATGCATGCAGACACACGTGCATGCAGGGGCATGCAGGGCACACGTGCATGCACGCATGAATACATGTGAGCATGCATTCACCACCCACCTGCACGCCCATGAGCACCCCACCAGCTCCCCCCCCCATATCTGCACGTCCGTGCCATGCCCTCCCTCACCTGCACGTCCATGAGCACGAGGTGGGGAGCGCCTGCAGGCGGAGAATGGGCTCATGCGTGCAGGGAACATGCGCATGCAGCCATGAATGCATGTCGCTATGCATGCAATCAACCCTCACCTGCACGTCCATGAGCACGAGGTCGAAGGGGTGCGCCTGTAACCGCAGGATGGCTTCCTGGCCGTGGCTGGCGACAGTACAGTCGTACCCCATGCGCGCCAGCATGGTGGTGGCTACCTTCTGGTTCACCACGTTGTCCTCGCTGCTCCCATGCACACACAAGGGGGAGGGACAGGCATGGTGGGAGAGGGGGGAGAGAGGGAGAGGGGGAAACAGAGGGTGAGTGGCGAGAGAGGGAGAGAGAGGTAAAGCAGAGAGCGGGAGAGCGAGAGTAAGCAGCAGGGCTGACTAGCACGGGAGAGGCACAGCGGTCCCAGACAGCGCATTGCACTGCCAGCTGCGAACAGCAGCCTCTTGCTGCCAAGGCAGTGCTTGACAATTCGGACTCACGCCCACCTGCTGCACGCATTAACTCAATCGTATGTGACTCCTCCAACGTGCCATGCCACGCCATGCCATGCCATGCGAGACCAACCCACCCCATGCCAACCCACCCCATGCCAACCTACCCCATGCCAACCCACCCCATGCCATCCCACCCCATGCTACCCCACGCCACCCCACACCAACCCATGCAAACCCACGCCACCCCACACCACCCCATGCCATCCCAAACCACCCCATGCCATCCCACACCACCCCATGGCACACCATTGCACCCCATGGCACACCATGGCACGTACGCAAGCAGTATTCTGAGCGGGTGAGCGTCCGCCAGCCCCACTCTGAACCCTGCTCGCTCTGCCCCGCACTTCATCGTGCCACCTGCTCCTCTCGCTGCTACACCTTCCCCTCCCTTCCTTGCTCCAGTCACCCCACCCCTTCTCCCCTCGCTTGTTGTCCTTGCCTCCTCGCCTCTCCCCCCCTTCCGTGCCACCTTCCCACCTCCAAAACAATCCGCCCTCTCGCCCTCACAGCAACCCCCACCACTGGCCTCACAGCTCCGCTCACTCCCCTCCTGCTCCTCTCCCCTTCCAACTCCCAACCCCTCCACTCCCTCCCCCTCCCCTCCCTCCCCCTCCCCCCGATCCTCCCTTCCCGCACTGCACTGCCCCCCTCCCGCCCCTCTCTCAACCACGGTGGTAGGCTCGCCAGCAGGTTGGGTGCCAGGCTCGGCAGCAAGTTCGGCGGAGGAGGCAGGGTTGGCAGGTTGGGGAGGGCAGGGGGGAGAGTTGGGGGAGCGCGGGGGGAGGAGCGCGGAGAGGAGACGGTTGAGGGCGATCTGGCGCACTGGGCGGGGGAGCGCCGCCACCTGCACTCCTGGTACGTGCGGCAGCTGGGGGGGTTGGGGGGGTAGGATTGGCGGAGGTGGAGGGGAGAAGAGGGGGAGAGGTCGGTCAGGGAGAAGTTATGAGATGGGAATGGGAGGGTGGTAGGAGGACAAGGGACGAGGGGGATGGGAGGGAGTGAGGATGAAGGGACGAAAACAGGGGACGAGGGAAGAGATGGGAGGGTGTGGTGTGACTCATTGATAGCCATGAGAAGGAGCAGTTGCGGAAAAACACTTGGGGAGGAGAGGAGGAGGGGCGAGCAGTGGGAGGCAGTGGAGGGGCGAGCAGTGGGAGGCAGTGGAGGGGCGAGCAGTGGGAAGCAGTGGAGGGGCGAGCAGTGGGAAGCAGTGGAGGGGCGAGCAGTGGGAAGCAGGGGAGAGCGACGTACCTGCACGTTGCCGGAGTAGGGCGTCAGCACCAACACCTTCGTGGCCCCTCTGCCGCCCTCGCCACACCTGCTGCTGCAGCACTGCCCGCCGCCACACTCTCCCCCCTGCCTGCTGCTGCAGCGCTGCGCTGGCAGCCAGTCCAGCCGCGAATCCACCACAATCAAATCAAATCCCTCACACCGCCCCTCACATCTGCACCCCTGCTGCTCCCCTCCCATGCGATCGTCCCTCTCTTCCCCGCTCTCTTGCTCGCTCCGCATCCGTTCTCCCTCCACCTCCCCCATACCTCTCTCCCCGCTGCTCCCATCCCCTTGCATGCTGTCCCCCCGCTCCTCCCCACCTCCCCCAACCCTCTGCGCCAGCAGCAGCGTGTCAGCCTCATCCCCCCCCGCCACCGCGCTCACGCGCATGCCCAGCCCCTGCAGGTGCCTCGTCACCATGCCACGTGTCGCTGCATGCGCCACCACCACCATCGCCTGCCGCCCGCAGCACCGGGCGGCGGTCTCGTGCCACGTTGCCACCCATGCCGGCGGCGATGCCAGCTGGCTGCCGCCCGCATCCCCATAAGCTTGCCTATGAGTCTGGAAGGGAAAATCCATGCTCCGACGCTGCTGCTGCTGCTGCTGCTGCTGCTGCTGCTGCTGCTGCTGCAGCGGCAAATAATCATCCTCACTCTGGTCTAACAGCGTGCCTGCGGCATCTCCATTTCCCTGTGCGAGCGGCACACTCACAGCGTTCCCGCCCTGCTCCCGCCTGCCCATAGCATCGCCCCCCAGCAGGGCCACCCTCTGTAGCCCCACCTCCAGCGCGCCCACCCCCGCCTCCCCCACCGCGCCGTCCACGCGGCGCCGCTTGCTTGAGTCGATGAGCCACGCGGGCATGCAGGGGGAGGGGGAGGGGGAGGGGGGAGAGAGGGCCAGCACGCCCACGCACGTGGACCGGCCCTGCCAGGGCACAGTGGCACTGCGGGCAAAGCGTCGAGGTGAGAGGAGAGGGGGTGCGGAGTCACGGCCACATTGCTCCCCTGTCATGCACTCGGTGCTGGTGGTGGTGGCGGCTCGGCTGAAGAGCAGCTTGGGAGCCGTGGAGACCCCTTCACGGGCCTTCCCTCCACACACAGCCCCAGGGGGTTCAGCATCTACCACGGGCCCCACAGCCCGCATAGGCGGTCCCACAGGCTCCACAGGCTCCACCGGCCCCACAGGCCCCATGTGGTCCCCAACAGCCCCCTCCACAGGCCCCACCTGCGTGGAGCAGGGCGGGCGGTACGGCAGTGCAAGCGCAGTGATATAGAAGGAGAAGGTGGCGCCATGGCCCAGCCCGGCGCTCTCCGCCCAGATGCGGCCGCCCATGAGCTCCACCAGCTGCTGTGAGATGGCCAGCCCCAGCCCCGTGCCGCCGTACTGCCGCGTCGTGGACGCGTCCACCTGGGAGAAGGGCTTGAACAGCCGGTCGTGGCGGTCCGCGGAGATCCCAATGCCCGTGTCGCGCACACTCACCACCACGCGGTGCCACCGGTACCCCGCAGATAGCGCCTGCTCCACCTCGCCCGCCGCCAGGCCCCGCCCTGTGTCCCTCAGGCCCCGGCCGCCCCACCCGCCGCTGCTGCTGCCGCCACTGCCGCCCGCCTGCTGCTGCTCCTGCTGCCCGTCTGCTGGGGCATCCGCGACCCCTCCCTGGGCGGGCGTGCAGGCAGCAGCGGGCTGGAGCAAGTCGGGGCGGTCCCCGAGGCAGTGGGCGGTGACGGAGACGTGCACGTCCCCGTGGTGGGTGAACTTGGTGGCGTTGGAGACGATGTTCACCAGCACTTGCCGCAGCCGCGTGGCGTCGCTCCTCACCACGCGCGGCACACTCTCGTCCACCTCGCTCACCAGCTCGATTCGCTTCTCCATGGCTCGCACCTGGGAGGAGAGATCAGGGGGAGTGCCACATGGGCACATGGGAACATGGAAGCAGAGATGTGGTGGTGATGGTGCACGGGAACGCTGGACACACTGAATGGGGTACAACATTCAGGGGAAGAGAGCGGAGGAAGAGGGGAATACGTTCATGAGTGTGAACTGAGTCTCTAGAATTTGGCGCTCACAACAAGCTAGCAGATTGAGGAAAACCAAATATGCATTCTCATATCAGTCTTTGAATTGGGGTAAAACTGGAGCGGCATCATGAAGTGTACAAGACACTTTCTAGGTCTTGGAGATTGGCTTCGGAGGTCAGTCGGAAGGCGGGCAAACATTCAAATCTCCAGCCACACTTCTTGCGGGCCTCCCGAACCGAGCTAAGGGGAAAAAGGGGCGAGCTTATTGGTTGTTGCTTGACGGTGAGATTCGTTGGCGAATCTCCGAGACCACGAACAACCTTATCCAAACCTCCGGGCAACAAACTGGTCTCGAAGCGCGCAAGACCCAGGGCATCCGCATGTTAGGAATTCCGCGAATTTCTTTCGCTAAATGCGCAGGAAGGATTTCAACGTCAGACTGCTAAATCGGCATAAGCAGCAGTACTGGACGCAGTCACGAGTCGAGAAGCCCATCGTAGGCGCAGAGGGAGTTTTCGAGCGAGCTCGCACTGACCGCGAGCAGGTTGACGCTGTCCTCGACGCACGCGGTGACGTCGAAGTCGCGGTGCTCCATCTCCAGCTCGCCCGCCTCGATCTTGCTCAGATCCAGAATGTCGTTGATGATCGCCAGCAGCGCGTCGCCGCTGCTGCGAATCGTGTCCACGAACCCGTGCTGCTCCTCCGACAGCGGCGTCGACAGCAGCAGCCGCGTCATGCCTGGGGCCAACCGTAGCAGGGCGTGTATGACAGAATGAGGAAACAAAAAAGCGGGTGATGCGAGGTTGATTGAGAGTAAAAGATGGATACTCGGCAAAACGAAAGAGTGAGAGCGCAAGGCCATGAACGTGCGTGAAGCAGGCCGAGCTGGGGTCTTCCCGTCATCCATGATAGACGACTCACCGAGCACGCCGTTCATGGGGGTGCGGATCTCGTGGCTCATGGACGCCAGGAACTGCGACTTGAGGCGGCTCGCGGACTCCGCCTCCGTGCGCGCCTCGCGCAGCTCCGCCACCATGCGCTCCAGCACCGCCGACTGCTGCGATATGCGGCTGCGCGATTGCTCCAAGTCCTGCCGCCATGCGCGCACACGCGGAAGCACAGGTGAGTGAGATCCGCACAAATGGCTGGTACCGTAACCGTTCGTTTCTCGTGTTCCGTTATTCTTCCAAAAGTAACGAAGATGTTAGCGACGCGTAGATTGACAGCCCCTCACCTCGATGCATCGCTGCAGGTGCTCCCTCGCGCGCAGATGCTCCTCGATCTCTCGCCGCAGCGCCTCGTTGCTGCGCTGCAGCTGCTCCGTGCGCTCCACGACGCGCTCCTCCAGCGCGGCGTTGAGCGCGCGGATCTCGCCCTCCTTGCGCTTCAGGTCGCTGATGTCCGCCGACACGCCGATCACCCCCACCAGCTGCCCCGCCGGGTCTAGAATCGGCGTGTCCGTCACCTGCGAGGCGGCGCGCATTGGGAGCATACGGTGGCGGGCAGCGGAGAGGCGATTGTGGGCACGCGGGTGAGGGGGATTGGGAAGGCGGGAACGATGCATGGGCGCTGGGGGGGATTGTGGTATGAGAGGTAGCGCGCAGCATCGCGCGGAAGAGTGGCGCGCACTATGGCGGGAAAGGGTAACTTGCGCCATGGCGGGGAAGGTTAGCGCGCACCATGGCGGGGAAGGGCGAGCCGTCTCTGCGCCTGACGAGGAACTCGCCGGTCCACACCTCCCCTTTGCTGAGCGCGCCGAATATCTCCTCCGCCTGCTGCACCGTCGTGTCCGCCGGCGTCACCTCCATGATTAGCCGTCCCAGCGCCTCGCCCTCACTCCACCCGTACATCATCTCTGCCGCCTTGTTCCTGCGGGGCACGCGCCGCGCGCGTGATGGGGAAACAGGAGAGGCGGAAGCAGGAGAGTGCAGATTGAGGAATGCGCAGTCAACCCAACCGCATCGAACCGCGATCAAGCATTCATTTCATCACTTTGAGCATCGCCCCGGCCCTGTTCGAGCTGACTAACCCCTGCCGCGAGCCGTTACTCCGGCCGCGTTGTTAGCCGCGTCGCGTTTGGACGCACCAGTAGGTGATGGTGCCGGCGAGGTCGGTGCAGATGACGGCCTGCCCCACCGACGCCAGCAGGTCCTTCTGGAATGCCACTGCCGGTCGCCGGGTAACAAGAGGGGAACGGGGGGGGGGAGGGACGGGTGGTGGAGGGGGAGGGGGACTCCCCCTCGGAGGGGGAGAGGGGGGATTGAGGCGGAACATCCCCAAGCAATGGTGTTGCGCGCGGCGAAAGAAAGCGGGTGAGACGACGCGGATTGAGTGCACGACTTTTCGCGTTCCCGGTGCTCGCAGCATTGACGCAGACGGCGATAGGCACGGAAAGTCGCAAGGCCGTGAAGGTCCGTCGTGAGATGTGCGCGCTGGGACGTGCGCGACGGTGACAGAATGCGAGTGAGGCCAGAGAGGAGAGACGCGGAGCGCGGCACAGGGAGGATGCGCTTTGCGGCTGTAGCAACCGCGGCCCGACACGCTGAGCTGCTTCAGCCGCGGCGGATATCGGCGATTGGACAATTACCTTCGCGTCTGTAGTTTTCGTGATCCGCCTGGAGCCTCTTGACCGCCTCGACCAGCTCGTACCGCGACAGCCCGTCGAGCGCCATGGACCGCGGCCCCAGCGGGTCGGAGACCGTCTGTAGCTGCAGACGCATGCCGGGCACGTCGCAGCGAGGCGTGGGCTCCGCGAAGGTCGCGACTTCGACGACCCGCGGGAAAGACGAGGGCGGCGCGTTCGTGCTGTCAGGCCTAGGAGCGCTAGTACTGCCTGTGCTCCCGATTGCTCCGTGGTCGCTGAGGAGTCTATCAGATGATCCGACGAAGTCCTCCGCGGAACCAGCAACGGTCCTCACGGCGGCGTCAACCACTCCACGCGGGGACTTGACTTCGCACTCGCTGCTGCTTCTAGTTTCCCTACCCCCGCGGCTCTCGCCCTGCGATTGCATTGCGTGGACGACAAATATCTCTAGGAACGACGCTTTGTGCGTTTGGCCGCAGCTCTGGCCGAGTGAACTGTCGGGTGGGCAGGATGCAGAGTTCACATCTCAACAGAGATGGTTGCACTGGAGCTATAAAAGAGTTTACGAAATGTCTCGTCTCGTCCTGTCCGCAAACGTGACGACGTATCAACCAACAGCCTCCGTTACCAGGCCAATCATCCTATATTGAATGAAACTTCAAGGTATGTATGAAAATGATTCTTGTATAGAAAAGGTATTTTCGAAGGATTTTTGTATTCTCAAGGTTGTTTTCTTTCGGTCCCAGCCGTCCTGGAAGCTTTCAAGGGGGGCCCATAACTCTAAAAGTAGGCGATGTCCCCATCACCTCGCTTCTCGGCCTCGTCTCTCGCTCTTCTGATTCGTGTTGCCCCTTGATTTAAGTTCAGGTCCCCCACGCAACTTCCACAAGAAATTGGTCACCCTCCCTCCTCTCCCTCTCCCCTCTCCCCCCTCCTCCTCTTCTACCACATGCTATTCCAACCGGGTATCGAGGAGGCATTTTCTGAGTGGGCTAATCAAATCTTTATTGTACAGCGGGTGACAGTCACATTCTTCCTCACCACAGCCCTACTCAACTGTTTGTAAGCACTGCTGCATTAAAGGTTATCGTCACGCTCACACCCAGCTCGACCACGGGGCAGCTTTGCCTCAGGCTTCAGCTTCTCGAAGCAGAAGCTGTCCTGCGCCGTCTGTGATCGAAGTCAAGCCGTGAGGAGGATCCACACTGATAGACAAACTCTGCAAACGAGAGCATCGGATTTCCCCCCTGTGCTTAAAGGCCTGCCAGGGGGAGGGTCGGTTTGATGAAAGCGGGTGGGAATCGTTGTTGCAGTGACTGGTACCACCCACGAAGCGTGGGACACCCTGGATGGCGTACGATTCTGTCGTCATCCTCGTTGTACCCTCCCGAAAACATATCCCGTCCACGTTTAGGACCAAAGGAAAAGGAACAGGCAGAATGAAGAGGAAGACGCTCAAAATCGAATCTAACAAGCAACGCACTTAACAAAACACTCTTAGCTGGGACTAGTGAAAACATCAGCGCTGAGGAAATCGTTGCTGAACAGTTGCAAGAGGCGTCCTTCACTGAGACTGTTGCTGCTGCCTCTGATGTCGTCTGCCCACAAAACCGGTTCTGAACTCCGTGAAAAATTGTTGCCGAACGTACCTCTACTGCTGAGGAATATCTCAGCGGAAACGGTTCGTCAAGCCTGACGACCCTCTGACGACTTGACGACATGCTGCCCCGGGCAGAAAAAAACTAAAACCCTATCGGATGGGATGCCATCCTAGGGAGGCATCAACCCTAAATCCATGCCTCCCTGTGTTTAGGGTTGATGCCTCCCTGACCGGATGCATGCCCTTCTGGGGTTTATTTTTTTTTGCCCGCGGGCAGCGAGCTCCCCTGGGCGGACTCGCTTGTCCGCTGAGATATATTCTTCGCAACACCGCAACCAAGCCCCATCTTTAGGTCGTGGGCCCAATCGAGTTTGATCGCCTCGATCACACGCGATCAAGAACTTCCAGAAAGCCTGGAAGCCAATTTCAGGCAATCGGGGGCAATCAGCTGATCGCGATCAACTGATCGCTCCAACTCAATCAGACCCAATTTTCAGCCCGATCAGAGCCGATTTTCCTCGATCACAGGCGATCACCTGATTTCTTGTGATCGGGGCCCCCAGCGATGCTTGCGACTTGTTACACTGTTGCTCTTACAGGGATAAGATTTTCAACAGGTGACTCCTCGTCGCCAATCTCGCTAGAGTGGGGACGAAATTGCCAGGTAGATGTACCGCGCTTGCCGAGCAGGCGCTGACGAACTTCTACGCAAAACATTACTGATCGGGCGGCTTGGGCACTGCGATCACAAGCAACCCGATCAGATCCAACCCGATCATATCAGTCGCGGTCAAACTCGATTTTGCCCACGTCCTCATTTATCAGATGTGCTGCCCCCAAAACTTCACCACAATAATTTGTGCGAAATAGGTAATGTATATGCGCCAGCTAGTGATGTTTTTTTTTATCCATCCTCCAGAACCTCAGCTTGTTCTTTTAGGTGGGGGATAGGGTTTGGTGTGACGAGAGAAACCAGGGGATCTGGGAAATGGGGTGCACACCGGAAGGGGAGGAGGGAGTGCGAAAATGATGCGTAGGACTAGTGTAGCTATTGAGAGAAGGCTTGGGGCAGTGAGGGCGACGTCATGTTATACACTTCTCATGGGTTAACAGTTCTTGTAACGTGGTTCAGGACGATCCAAGGTTTTCGACGTTTACCGCTCTTCACCGTGTTGAAACGAAGTTAACCGCAGTGGGCGTACAAGAAGTTGTACAACCTGAGTACGAGGAATAGGGTAAAATCAGGGAGAGTTAGAGGATGGCTGGGGGGGCTGGCTTTGCATTCAGTCTACACCTACAGTATATCACAAAGCTTGTTACGCGTGCAATTGAGTGAGCGAGCGAGAATTGCACTATCGAAGCAAAAAGTACAATGAGCGAAGGCATGAGCGAAGAATATATAGCGAAACTACAGTGGTAACGGTAATGCGTGGAAATTGGGGTGCGCGACGGGCCTGGCGCCGAGGTTGGGATTTGTCGAGGCGGAGGTCCGGAGCGCGGGTTACCAACCGAACCGTGAGGTTGGGTCGCGTCGTGAACAGTGGCGGGAATGGTGTCGAAGCGAGTGTCGCGAGTGGTAACGGATTACTGTTGGGTGCTGTGGGCGGGAACAGTGGTGTACGCGCTGAGCAGGGACGCGAAGTAAGGAAAAGGAATTTTCCTTACACTACCCCCCCTCCCCCCAAGGAGGCCCCTCTTACGAGAGCGCGTGTACATCTCGGAAGTTGCGGCTGCGCAGATACTCAGTGAGGACAGGGTGATTCTCAATTCTATCTAAGGGGACCCAGTTGTCCTCGGTGGGCGTGCGGTCTTTCCAGCGGATCAGGAATTCGATTCTGCGGGCTCCCCGTGGGTCACGTACTCGGTGGCTCAGTATTTTCTCAGGCGTGATGATTGGTTCTGTCGGCGGTCGTGTCATGCTGGCGGGGCGGTTGCGAGGCAGTTGGCTGGTGGATGGCACGTATGGGCGAAGCAGGCTGACGTAGAAAGACGGGCTGACGTACCAGTCAGCAGGGAGGAGGAGATGGGCGGTGACGGGTGTGATCATGTGGCTGATGCGAAATGGCCCGCAATATCGGGGGCGGAGTTTTGGGGTGATGGGCAGGCGGAGGTTTTGAGTGTCGAGTAAAACTAGGTCGTCTGACTGGTAAGTGACAGGTCGGCGGTGGCGGTCAGCGTTGCGTTTAGCGATGATGTTTGATTTTTTTATTGCTTCTGCTGCTCGGGTCCGCAGTATTTCCGCGAACTGTTGCGCGCGTGGGACTGGGTTGTCGGGATTCGGGGTCATGGGTACTGTGGGGTCTTGTCCGTAGTTCAGGTAAAACGGTGACTGTTGGGTCGTGGCGGATGGCGAGTTGTTGTACGCGAATTCGATGAGTGGCAGTTGCTGTTCCCACGTGGTCGGGTCGTCGCACGTGGCCCGGATGAGCTGTTCCATGGTCTGATTTGTCCGTTCTGTCTGTCCGTCGGTTTCGGGGTGGTATGATGAACTGAACTGTAGTCGCGTGCCGAACTGCTGCCACAGGTTCCGCCAGAAGTTGCTGGTGAATTTCGTGTCGCGGTCGCTGATGATCGCTGCTGGTATCCCGTGTAATCGAACGATGGTGGCGATGAAGAGGCGAGCTGTTTCTTCGGCTGTGATTGATTTCTTGCATGCTGCGAAGTGTGCCATTTTCGTCAGCCGATCGACGACGACCAAGATCGCGTCGTTCCCACTTGCTCCAGCCGGTAACCCCGTGACGAAGTCCATCGTCACCTGCTGCCAAGCACGCTCTGGGGGTGGTATCGGCTGCAACTGTCCTGTCGGTCGCTGTCGTGACGACTTCATGAGCTGGCAGGTGGGACACGATGCCACGTGTCGTTGCACGTCGGTCAGCATCTCGGGCCAATAGTAATACCGCTGCAGCTGCTGCCGTGTTTTCTCTACCCCGAAATGTCCCGAGGTAACTCCGTCGTGTGCCTCCTGTAACAGTAATTCCCGTAGCAGTGTGTACCCTGGTACCCAGATGCGGTCAGTCCCGGTTTTTACGTAATAGACTCCCTTGGCTGCTGCGAACTGCTGCGAATTTCCTCCTGTGAAGAATGGGTCCGTTTGGTACCCGTGGGTAAATAGTCCTGTCAGTAGCGGGCTGGTCTGGGCGAGTAGTATCGCGTGGATTTGGGCAGTGGGGCGGGTCAGTGCGTCAGCGATGTTGGATGCTCCTTTTTTGTAGGTGACCGTGTAGTGGAAGTTTGACTCGAGGAAATCGAGCCAGCGGATCTGTCGTGGGTGGAGGTGGGGCTGTGCGCGGAGGTACTGTAGGGATCGGTGGTCTGTCCATACTGTCACGTCTGCGCCGATCAAGTAACAGCGCCAGACCTTGAACGCATGCACGATCGCGAGCATTTCGCGGTCGTGTATCGGGTAATTTTTTTCGGGCGGATGCAGCTTTCGTGACTCGTAGGCGATGGGCTGTAGGCCGTTGCCGAAATCCTGTAGCAGTACGGCTCCAATGGTGATATCGCTTGCGTCGGTTATGACTTCGAAGGGGCGGTGT